AATCTGGCAAAGGAAATAGACTTCCAGGAAGTCCAGGAAGCTCACAGAGTCCCAAAGAAGGTGGACCCAAGGAGGAACACACCAAGGCACATCATCATTACATTAGCCAAGATTGAAATGAAGGAGAGAATCCTAGAAGCAGCAAGAGATAAGGGGACAGTCACCTACAAAGGAGTTCCCATCAGACTGCCAGTGGATTTCTCAAAAGAGACCTTGTAGGCAAGAAGGGGCTGGAAAGAAGTATTCCAAATCATGAAAGGCAAGGACCTACATCCAAGACTGCTCTATCCAGCAAAGCTTTCATTTAGAATGCAAGGGCAGATAAAGTGCTTCTCAGATAAGGTCAAGTTCAAGGAGTTCATCATCACCAAGCCCTTATTGCATGAAATGTTAAAGGGACTTACCTAAGAAAAAGAAGATAAAGATGAAGAGTGAAAGGACAGCAAACTCACAGTTATTAAGAACCACACCTAAAACAAAAGCAAACTAAGTGGACAGCTAACTCAGGAGCAGAACCACAGAAATGAAGATCATGTGGAGGGTTAGCAACAGGGGAGTGGGAGAAGGAGAAGTGGGGAGAAGGTACAGAAACAGAAAATAAGTAGCATAGACGGTAGGTAGAAAACAGATAGGGGGGAGGGCAAGAATAGTATGGGAAATATAGAATCTAAAGAACTTGAGACACTTGGTCATAAACTAAAGGGGGGGAATGGTGGGGGAGGGGGTGTGCAGGGTGGAGGGGAATGAAGGGGGGAAATAGAACAACTGTAATGGCATAATTAATCAAATATATTTAGAAAAAGAAAATATTTAAAGGAAATTCTTGAGAAAGATCTTTAATATCCTCAGACTCTGTCAAATGAAAGATACATAAATAAAAACACATCCATAAAGTTATTTTTAGACTCACTGATTTTAATGTATAAATATATAAAATCCTATTTATGTATTATATATTCTTATTTCATTCATTCATTCATTCATGCATTTTTAGAGAGAGGGGAAGGGAGGAAGAAAAAGAAACATCAATGTATGATTACCTCTCATGTGGCCCCCATTGGGGATCTGGCCCACAACTGAGGCATGTGCCCTGACTAGGAATTGAACCAGTGACCCTTTGGTTCCCAGCCTGCACTCAATTCACTGAGCCACACCAGCCAGGACTATTTCATATTTTTAAACTAAAATATTTAACATATAAAATAACACAATAATATATATCAGGGATCTGCAAACAATAGCCTCAAGGCCAAATGTGGCTTGGCACCTTTTTTTTCAATGGCTGTGAGCTAAGAATAGCTCTTATATTTTTAAAGAAAAAGAACAAGAGGGAAACGGGAGGGGGGGGGCAATCTGATCCTTTATAGAAAAAATCTGCTGCCCTAGCTCAGTGGCTCAGTTGGTTGGAGCATCATCCAGCACACCAAATAGTTGATGGTTCTATCCCTGGTCAGGGCACATACCTAAATTGCAAGTTAGATTCTTGTTTAGGGTGGGGGTAGGAGGCAACCAATCGATGTTTCTCTCTCAGATTGATGCTTCTCTCTCTCCCTACCCTCCTTCTCTGTCTAAAATCAATAAATATATCCTGAGGTGAGGATTAAAATAAAGTTTGTTGACCTGAAATATAAAAATATTTATCTATTATTACATACATTTTATTTTTGCTATATATACAGCTTGCATTACATATTAAATGTTTATGCATTTTAAATTTGTGTATACTTTTATTTTACACATACTTTTATATAGATACATGGGACCTAAAAGCCCAAGATTAACACATATCCTCAAATTTGGTTTTAAAATATACCATAGGAACACTAACACTTCACCTGAAAGTAAATGTGAGTTTAAAATATCTAATTTAAAAAGTAATATATGTTTAGTTGGAAAGCTGGGAAAATAAAGTACTAAGAAGGAAAAATACTTAAAACTAACTTGAAATCTGCCACCCAGAACTAACAATTTACTGTACTTTCATTTTTTAAAAGATTTTATTTATTTATCTTTAGAGGGGAAGGAAAGGAGAGAGGGAGAGAAATATCAATGTATGGTTGCCTCTCATGGATCCCCTGCTAGGAACTGGCCTGCAACCCAGGCATGTGCCCCGAATGGGAGTTGAACCGTGGTTGTTTGGTTCGCAGGCCTGTGCTCAATCCACAGAGCCACACCAGCCAGGGCCATTTTTTTTTTTGTTTATGTTTTAATCTTGTATCCCAATTCCGCGGCCCTCCCCTCAGCAACAGCAGAAGGAAGGGGGAGAGAGAGAAACATTGATGAGAGAGAATCGCTAATTGGTTGCCTTTCGCACATGGCCTACACGGCTTCTGAACATGCAATCTAAGCATGTGCCCTGACTGGAAATGGAACTATGACCTTTCAGTTCATGGGATGATGCCCAACCAACTGACCCACACTGGCCAGAGGGTATGCCACCTTTATTTTAACCAAAAAGTTAATCCCAAGAATTTTCTCATGTCACTATTCTTTAAAAATGTTTTAATACCAACAACGTACTCGTCATTATTTAGATTATCTTCATTTTTAACTAAATATAAAGCATGCTACACTGAGTATACTTAGCAATAACATTTGCATACAACTCTAAAACTCCCTTGTGTTAAATTCTTACAAATGGATTGCTGAATACAAAATAAACTGAAGAACTCCAGAATTAGGTCCTCATTCTTCAGAATACCTTCTCCAAAATCCATCCATCATCTTTCATACAGATAGGAATCTTCCATGATCATTTTACAATTATAACCGATAGTAAAAAGATATTGAAAATACACATTTTACCTTAGCCTTTGTGGAATGTAAGACCTCAAATAGTTACCCTTTAAGCCTGCTACATCTATTTACACTAACACCTAGGCATATGTATTTCTGTATCTTTCAAAGAAGGCATACTATAGTGCCCAAGTATCTGTTATTAAATGTGTTTCTAGTACTAGAGAAAGTCTAATAAAGACTTACTTTATCAAAACAAACAAAAACAAACAAACACAAAACACCATCAAAACCAGTGGCAGCATCTCCTTGAAGTTACCTCACTGCCTTGGCTTTGCTCCTTCCCCAATTGCCTAGCCATACCCCCTTCCAGAAACCAAATGTTGTATTTTAGATTTATCAAATGCATGCATGTAAAAACTGATTATCATTAGATGCTCTGAAATTATTCTACTTAAGAGAAGGAAAGAGATCCGTATGAACATGACTCCTGGGTTAAAAACATTTACATACAATCCTCCAGTGACCCTCAGGGCAGAGCATGAAGTTTCCTATGATTGCCTACGTTTTATAACTAGAACTTTCTGCAGAGACAAATTTATAAAAATTATGCTTTACAACACCCAGTATCACCTCACCAGAACTGGCACTGACTCTATGCCCAACTTATTTGGTATGGAGGTTTTAATTTTATACACTCAAGACAAAAATTAATTAATTTAAAATAAAAACAAACCCCGTACAACACTGTTTTTAGGACTGTAAGACGCACCCCCACCCCCAATTTGGGAGAAATAATGGCTGTTAATGCTGCTGTTGAGTTCTGTTTACATTTACACTGGTGAAATACTATGTTATTTATGTTATTAAATATTTTACCACATTTTTTGCTTCAAAATTTTGCCCCCCTTTTTTCCTCTAAAACCTAAGTGTATCATATGGTTCAAAAAATACGGTAACATTCACTCAGCTTATACAGAATACCCTACCCACGCATAGTACTCCATCTACTACCTTCAAAGAAGTCACTTAACCCTACCACTTTACAAAAAGAGAAAACAAAAGAGGCAAACTAGTGAAAAGAACTGACTCAACAGTCAACTAGCCACACCTCAAAGGTTCTAAAATCTGGACACTTTCTAACCCACCATTCTTCAATAGTCAGGGTGAAACAGGATTAATGGGCACTAAACTAATAAGAAACTTTCACACTTGGCATATTTTGTCATGTACATAATACATTCCTTTTGCCCAAACTTTTGAGGGAAAAATAAGGATGCACAATTATACAGGAAAATAGTGCTAAAATGTGGGTGCCCATTATGCACAGAAGTGCATTCTACATGGCAAAATATAGTAATAAGGTTGAAAATGCTTTCTCTTTAAAATGTTCTCTGAGCCATGACCAGTGCAGCTCAGTAGTTTGGGTGTTATCCCCGCAATGGGTTGCTGGTTCAATTCCTGGTCAGATCACATGTCTGGGTTGTTGTGAGTTCAGCCCCCAAGTTGGGGTGCACATGATAGGAAACTGATCAATGTTTTTATTCTCATGTCCATGTTTTTCTCCCTTTATTTAAAAAGAAATAAAATCTTTAAAAAGTTGTCTTAGGAATACGGATCCTGATGTTAATAGCCAATTGTGTCAGTTAACTGTTAGATCTTGGTTAACTTAACATTCAAGCTTTAGTTTTCCCACCTGCACACATGGGATCTCATATGTACTTTATATGATTATTTAAGACTAAATGAGATCATGTATGCAATGCTCTATCTCCCACTCAATAAATATTTACTGAATGAATAAGTGGTTGGAAAGAGAATATAGTATTTATGTGCAAATAATAGATATTTACCTGTATCAAATCTCTGCATGTTTGTTTAAAAGTAAATGGTTGTACATACATACAGAACATAACTAACCATGTCTCTTATCCTAATAAATTCCTCCTTTGAATTTTGCCTCTCATCTCAGATTATTTTCACTTATTAACTATGAAAACCTGGTAAACTATGTAATAACCCTAAAACAAAAATCAAAGACAGCTTTGGAACAACTTGTCACTACAAATGCACTTATGAGGAGTATTATGGAATTCCAGAACATGAGCTACTTCTTGACCTTCAAATTTATTTTTAAAAATTTTGCTAATACCCATGTTTTTACTTTTCTAATCTATAAAACATGTGACATTTATATAGAATGAAGCTAAGAAATGCTGAATAAAGTGGTTTTGGAGTTTGTATTTGCTACTTAAAAAACTTACTGAGAAATGCTGAAGTAAGTCTTCTTTTTCCTCTTCAATGAGTCCCCCGACTGAAAGTGTTTTGGGCCGGTGGTCCACCACCATGTGATTTAGTGAGCCCCTTCCTCTTCCTCCACGACCCCGGCCTCTTCCTCGACCTTGGGAGGACATGGTCTTTCCTCGACCCACTGGTAAGATACCTAATCGTGCAGCCTGAATAACAACAACCGAAGATCGAATATACACTTTTAGACTAAACCTTGGAAAACAGAAAAAGAGAAAGCTATTTTTTCAGATGTTAAATGTAGTGGTCAGTAACTCCTCTTAGGTCTCACCTCAACCTGTAACTGACTGAGTTTTTTCCGTAATTCTGTTGTGTCTTCTCCGGAGGACAGCCTCTTGTGAAGGTCCAATTCAGTATCTAATAGTTCTTTCTGAGCCTTTGAAAAAATTCAGTGTATTTTTGAGATTATTTACAAGATCTTATTCAGAATATTATACTTACAGAGTGACATACATCTCTTTTGGGAAAATGAGAGTGAGAAGATGAATAAACATGAGGGTGTTAGAGAAAGTAGCTTTACAGACATAATACTGACAATGCATAGAGGGTATTATGGGTCTCAGTAAAAACAATAAGCAGTATTACTGCTGAAGATGAACAAAAACTCAGACCTTGAAAACAGTCATCTAAGATGAGGAAGCTGAGAATAATTTTCACATAATAAAACATCATAAATAAAACATAATGGGGAAAAATAAATATATAGTAAAAAGTCAATAATGGTACAAACATAACAGTTACTTAACTGTTATGAACTCTAACTATTGCCACTTTTTCTTTTTGGTGAGAGACAGATAATCTTCAGGTACATGAGTGTAAGATTATTTTTCTACCATATATATTCCCTTTAATTTTTGAAATGTGCACATGTTCTTTCTATAATTGTGGAAAATTTCAATATAAACTTTTAAATTATATTTTTAAAAAGAAATCTTAATAAAACACTTTACATTCCTATGCTAGTACAGAACCACAATTTGAAAAGTAATATAATATTTTACATTAAAAATTGTGTTTTGCCCTGGCTAGTGTAGCTCAGTGGATTGAGCGCAGGCTGCAAACCGAAGGGTTGCCGGTTCGATTCCCAGTCAGGGCACATGCCTGGGTTGCAGGCCAAGTCCCTCAGTGGGGGCCACATGAGAGGCAACCACACGTTGATGTTTCTCTCCCTTTCTCCCTCCCTTCCTCTCTCTAAAAATAAATAAATAAAATTTTAAAAAATTGTGTTCTACATATCTGACAAATTTATTATCAGTTCTCAAAGCACTTAAAATTAATCTAAAATCCAACTACAGAGCTATGATATAAAGGAACCACTATGTAAAGCAAATATTCACCTATAATAAGAAAACAAATGGAAATACAATTAGACTTAAACAGATATAGAATTTTAGATTATTCATTCCAATAGAATGCCACATTTTTACCCGTATTAAAGCAAATATTTTTTATTAATAAAATTATTTTATTACAACAGTATTATAGAATTTAAAAAAAAACTGCTGGCTAAAATAGTAAGTAACTTGTTTGCCCACTATCACTCTAGTGGTTTCATCTCCAGCACAGAGAAGCAAAAATTTCAATAAAAAAAACACGCCTTTATTCAAATGGGGTATTATAACCTCTTTCAAAGAGAGCACACAGCATCTATAGAAATATTTTAAAAACTTGTTATTATAATTGTCTCCCCATGAGACTATTAGCCATCTAGTACAGGGTTCCACTGTAGTTTTAAAGTGCCAAGCATGTAACAGACGCTTGATAGCCCTATGTTGAATACAAAATGCAAACAGATACCTCTGTTTTGGTCTTCACTTTAGATGGTGTGGAGACTGCAGAAGATGTTTTTAACTCATCTTTCAGTTGTGAGATCTTTTCACCAAGCTCTTTCAAAGTCTTCATTATATTTGCCCTCTCTTCTGGTTTCATATTTTTATTTTTTTCTAGCTTGGATATTAGCATCTATAAAACAAACAGAAAGTAAAACTATGCTTAGTAAAGTTTATAACAATCCTTAAGATTCTTACCATTAGGGATATCTTTGTAAAATCCATTCTATACATCAATACCAAAATGGAAATAATGAGCTCCTTGTCTTACCTTCTGGCATTCTATTTGTTTTTCTAATACTTCTTGCCTTTTTTTCCTCATATCTTGTTGTAGCTTCATTGCTTCCTACATGAACAGGTAAAAAAAAAATTTAAACAAAATTTGCCAACTCATTTCTTCTGGGACATCCCTATGACAAGATTTTTCCTCCTAATCAAAAAATATCAGAAACCAGAGACAAAACCTTTAAATATATTTTCCCAACACTTCCAGTATAAAAGGGTTACTTTTATAACTGTACTTATTTAAAATGCTGAACACTAACTAACTGTATCTGTGAGGTTTACTCACTTGAATTACTTGAATGTTATCTATGAGGAAAAACAAGAGCTGGTCTCACTTGCTGATGTAATAAACCAAATCCTTATTTTAGAAGTTTAAAAATGTGGGGTAGATTACCGGCTAAAAACAGTAGCAAAATCTATGGCTTTTACCAGGCAAATGCTGCCTCCCACCCCTGTTGATTAAATCTTGAATTACACTGAAATAATACATAATTTCACTTGAAAAACTATGTGAATTTCAATCTAAGATAATATGAAACTTAGAATTGAGTCGTGAATAATATCTACATAAAGGTTATATATATATATTTTAAAGATCTTATTTACTTTCAAAGAGAACCGAAGGAAGAAAGGGAGAGAAACATCATTGTGATTGACATATATTGACTGGTTGCCTCTTGCATGCCCTTCCTGGGAACCTGGCTTGCAACCCAGGCATGTGTCCTGATTGGGAATTGAATTGGTAACCTTTTTGGTTCCCTGATCAGTTCTCAATCCACTGAGGCACACCAGCCAGGGCATAAAGGTTATATTTTATGTGAAACATTGTCTAACTTACAAAGCCAGAAAAAAAAGAAACCAATAAATAATGAAATAAATATCTGTTTCTATGTCTTGGGAGACCAAAAACCATGACAGCTTGGATGTTTACTTTTACACAGAAAAAGATCTTTCATTGTGCTCAATGTAGCCACCAAAAGGCAATTATAAAACATTTTTTTCTGCTTGTGCACCTTGAACAAAAGGTACACCACATTCAGCAGCAGCTAAATAAACATGATTATTAACATAATCTTTTAAGAATTCAGTGGGTCCTTTTCTGTTTAAGGAAAAAAAGTCAAAGCTGTTACCTGCTTCTTTTTAAGAACTTCTTGAACATCATGAGATTTAGACCCTGAACAAAGCTTTGAAGGAGTCTTTAAGTTTGAGGAGCTATAAATCATTTTTTGATGGCATGAAGATGGAAACATCTGTGAAAAATGAATATGATAAATAAAATATTAGAAATGCTTCAAAGTCATTTTCAATAAAGATCGTATATATTTCTGTTGTTCTTGGAGTACAATTTTATACTTTACATTTAAAAACTATATTTATACTGCTAGCTCTTTATATATAATTCAACTGACACTCAACTATAAAAACAAAAATTAATTTTTAGCAATAGTTGTATTTGTTTTTTAATATATTTTATTGATTATGCCATTACAGTTGCCCCATTTCTCCCCCTTCATTCCTCTCCACCCTGCACAGCCCTCCCCCATCATTCCCCTTTAGTTTAGGTCCATCTGGCAAAAGTTCTTTAGCTTCTACATTTATCATACTATTCTTCCCTCCCCCCATCTATTTTCTACCTACCATCTATGCTACTTATTCTACCTTCTCCCCCTCTCTTCTCCTCCCACTCCCCTGTTGCTAACCCTCCATGTGATATCCATTTCTATGGTTCTGCTCCTGATCTAGCTGTCTGCTTAGTTTGATTTTGTTTTAGGTATGGTTCTTAATAACTGTGAGTTTGCTGTCTTTTCACTGTTCATATTTTTTATCTTCTTTTTCTTAGGTAAGTCCCTTTAACATTTCATGTAATAAGGGCTTGGTGATGATGAACTCCTTGAACTTGACCTTATCTGAGAAGCACTTTACCTGCCCTTCCATTCTAAATGAAAACTTTGCTGGATAGAGCAATCTTGGATGTAGGTCCTTGCCTTTCATGACTTGGAATACTTCTTTCCAGCCCCTTCTTGCCTACAAGGTCTCTTTTGAGAAATCCACTGGCAGTCTGATGGGAACTCCTTTGTAGGTGACTGTCCCCTTATCTCTTCCTGCTTCTAGAATTCTCTCCTTCATTTTAATCTTGGCTAGTGTAATTATGATGTGCTTTGACATGTTTCTCTTTTGAGTCCACCTTCTTTGGGACTCTCTGAGCCTCCTACACTTCCTAGGAGTCTATTTCCTTTGCCAGATTGGGGAAGTTCTCCTTCATTATTTGTTCAAATAAGTTTCCCACTTGTTGCTCTTCCTCTTCCCCTTCTGGTACCCCTATAATTCAAATGTTAAAGATGCCCTGGAGGTTCCTAAGCCTCTCGTTTTTTTTTTTTTTTGAATTCTTGTTTCTTCATTCGTTTGGTCATTTTTTTCTTCCTTCTGGTCTACTCAACTGATTTTAGTTCCAGTTTCCTTCCCATCACTGTTGTTTCCCTGTGCATTTCCCTTCATTTCACTTAGTTTAGCCTTCATTTGTTCATCTAATTTGTGACTAAAATCAACCAGTTCTTCAAGCATCCTGATGACCAGTGTCTTGAACTGTTCATCTGATAGGCCGGCTATCTCTTGGTTGCTTAGAAATGTTGGCTCTGGGGCTTTCAGCTGTTCTTCTTGAGCCAAAATGTTGTGGTCTGTTTGTGCCTGTTATGTATGAGGGGTGGAGCCTTAGGTCTAAGTATTCACCAAGGCAGGGCAACCCAGGTTGCTGCTTTGTGATGCTGTATGTGGGGGAGGGGTGAGAGAGGGACAATGGCATTTTTTCTGCTCTCTCAGATTTAGGTCTCCTCTGCTGCTTCCCGCAAGCAAATTGGGCCCTTCTGGTGCTCGTTTCCAGGTGTGTGGGATTGTGCACCCTCCCAGACCCTGTGGGTCTCTCCAACGAACTCTCTGTGAGCTTGGGAGCCTCTCCTGGCACCTCAACTCCTGAAAGTTTTTCAACTGGTGCTTTTAGGCTTCAATTCCTGTTGCTGGGGCCCTGGGTTGCACGGTCTGTCTCACTGCTCATTCCTTTGCCTGGTTTATCTGCGCATAAATGTGGGACTGACTGGTCAGCCAGCCACCTTGCACCCTCACTGGGTCTGCCCGTTGCCACCCCACGCCTGGGATCTGCCAACCACCACCTACGCACCTGGGTCAGTCTGGCCACTTTTTCCTATGCGACCCCTTTCTGCCAGCCATTAACTCTGCCCCTCTTACCGGTCTGGCTGAATGGTTCGTTGTTGTGGGACTTTCATATAGTTCAATTTTCTGTGTGTTTTGGTTGCAATTTTGTTACTAAATCTTTGTTGTCTTTAAACTTTGTTGTGTGAGGAGGCACAATGTTTCCACCTACGCCTCCATCTTGGCCCTAAGTCCCTAGTGTTGTATTTCTGAAGCAATCACATATTTTTCTTCTCTCTCTTAATTTTAATTGTGATTAAAAAGGACAGCAAATTCTCACACCTAGGAGCTGGCCTGCCACTCACAGCTAGGTCCTCCTTTTAAAAATAAACAGTTTGACAGAATATCAACCTCAGACAGGTCACTCTTGTGACCACGATGGATCATGACAATAACAAGATCACTCCACAATCATGACAGAACACAGAAAGAAATGCAAATTCTATTCAAATTATAAAAATGACTATACCTCTCTTTCCTGGCTAACAGAAATGACTACAGCTTTTTTACTGATATTTTAGCTTCATTCTGGTCTTTCCTCCTTCTAGCTAGACTTATACCTGATCATAGAAATACTCCTGTTTTCTTACAAGTTTCTTAACCCTGTTTCCCAAACACATAACACAGACTAAACCTAAAATAAGTCCTTTAAAAAAATAGATTTCTGGCCCTGGCTGGCATAGCTCAGTGGATTGAGCGCGGGGCTGCGAACCAAACGATCGCGGTTCAATTCCCAGTCAGGGCACATGCCTGGGTTGCAGGCCAGTTCCCGGCAGGGGACTCACGAGAGGCAACCACACATTGATGTTTCTCTCCTTCCCTTCCTCTCTAAAGATAAATAAATAAAATATGTATTTAAAAAAAAATAGATTTCTGGCCAAGATGGAGGCGTAGGTGGAAACACTGTACCTCCTCGCACAACCAAATTTAAGAACAAAGATTTAGAAACAAAAACACAACCAAAACAGACAGGAAATTGAACTGTACTGAAGTCCGACAACAACAAACCATTCATCCAGACTGGTAAGAGGAGCGCAGTCAGCAGCCGGTGGAAAAGGTGGTGGTTAAAAGGTCCAACCAGTGGACCTGTGGACCTGGGCACATGGGCGGATGTGAACACAAAACAAGCAAACCCAGTAAGGCTCACAAGGGGGCTGGCTTACTGTAGATACACACTTGTGCGCAGATAAACCAGGCACAAAAAATGGGCAGTGAGAGAGACTACGCAACCCAAGGCCCCAGTGACGGGAATTAAAGCCTAAAAGCACCAACTGAAAAAACTTTGGGGGGTCGAGGTGCTGGGAGAGGCTCCCAAGCTCACAGAGAGTTCACTGGAGAGACCTACAGGGTCCAGGAGGGTGCACAAGCCTATACACCCAGGAACCAGCACCAGAAGGACCCAATTTGCTTACGGGAAGCAGCAGAGGGGACAAAACACAAGACAGAGCAGAAAAAACGCCATTGCCCCTCTCTTACTCCACCCACACACACAGCATCACAACCCAGTGACTGGGTTGACCCACCCTGGTGAACATCTAAGGCACCACCCCTCATACATGACAGGTACACACAGACCAAAACATTATGGCTCAAGAAGAAGAATATCTCAAAGCCCCAGAGCCAACACTTCTAAGAGACCAAGAGATAGCCAGCCTATCAGATGAACAGTTCAAAACACTGGTGATCAGGATGCTCACAGAACTGGTTGATTTTAGTCACAAGTTAGATAAAAAAAATGAAGACTACACTAAATGAAATGAAGCAAAATGCACAGGGAAACAACAGTGATGGGAAGGAAACTGGAACTAAAATCAGTTGAGTAGACCAGAAGGAAGAAACAACTAAACAAAAGAATAAAGAAACAAGAATTCAAAAAAAAACAACGAGAGGCTTAGGAACCTCCAGGCCAGCTTTAAATGTTCTAACATCTGAATTATAGGGGTACCAGAAGGGGGAGAGGAAGAGCAACAAGTGGGAAACTTATGTGAACAAATAATGAAGGAGAACTTCCCCAATCTGGCAAAGGAAATAGACTTCCAGGAAGTGTAGGAGGCTCAGAGAGTCCCAAAGAAGGTGGACTCAAAAGAGAAACATGTCAAAGCACATCATAATTACACTAGCCAAGATTAAAATGAAGGAGAGAATTCTAGAAGCAGGAAGAGATAAGGGGACAGTCACCTACAAAGGAGTTCCCATCAGACTGCCAGTGGATTTCTCAAAAGAGACCTTGTAGGCAAGAAGGGGCTGGAAAGAAGTATTCCAAATCATGAAAGGCAAGGACCTACATCCAAGACTGCTCTATCCAGCAAAGCTTTCATTTAGAATGGAAGGACAGATAAAGTGCTTCTCAGATAAGGTCAAGTTCAAGGAGTTCATCATCACCAAGCCCTTATTACATGAAATGTTAAAGGGACTTACCTAAGAAAAAGAAGATAAAAAATATGAACAGTGAAAGGACAGTAAGCTCACAGTTATTAAGAACCATACCTAAAACAAAATCAAACTAAGCAGACAGCTAGATCAGAAGCAGAACCACAGAAATGGATATCACATGGAGGGTTAGCAATAGGGGAGGAGGAGAGAGGGGGAGAAGGTACAGAGAATAAGTAGCACAGACGGTGGGGAGAAAATAGACGGGGGAGGGCAAGAATTTTATGGGAAACACAGAATTTAGTCTATAGAATGGACATGAACTAAAGGAGGGGAATGAGGGGGTTGGGGTATATGCAGGGTGGAGGGAAATGAAGGGGGAGAATGGGACAACTGTAATTGCATAATCAATAAAATGTATTAAAAATGGTTTTACTTATTTATTTTTACAAGGTGGGGAACGTAGGGAGAAAGAAAGAGAGGGAGAGAAACACTGACTGGTTGCCCCTCACAACACCTGGCCTGTAAGGAATGCATGTGCCCTGACTAAGAATCGAACCATGTATGTGTATATGTATGTGTGTGTGTGTGTGTGTGTGCGTGTGTGTGTGTATCACTCATTCCTTTGCAAATTTTCACATATACTATCTTGTAGATGAGGGGTGTCAAACTCATTTTCACCAAGGGGCACATCTGCCTTGAAGTTGCCTTCCAACAACCAAATGTTATCTTAGAACTGTGTAAATATAACTGCGTCTTAACTAGGGGCAAGAAGCTCAGTGCTACCATTGGGTAGTAACAAGATACCAGGCTGGACAAAATAAGATGGAGGGTCGGATTCGGCCCACAGGCCTTGTGTTTGCTACCTGTGGTATAGATGTATTGCATGTTAAGTAACTAGTCCTCTACTGATGAATATTTGAATTGTTTCCAGTCTTTTGCTATTATAAAGAGTTTATAGGTCTTGAACATGTCTTTTCATAGTTTGCTTAGCAGTGCTTTGGCATCAGTTATTAGAAGGAAGATTACTGGTTAGAATAAATACATACATAATTCTGCCAGACACTGCCAAATTTCCTGTCATGGGGGCTGTACCACTTAGCATTTTTAAAAAAGATTTTATTTATTTATTATTTTTAGAGAGAGGAGAGAGAAATATCAATGTGCAATTGCCTCTCATGTGGCCCCCACTGGGGACCTGGCCAGCAACCCAGGCATGTGCCCTGACTGGAATTGAACCAGCGACCCTTTGGTTCACAGCCCACACTCAATCCACTCAGCTACACCAGCCAGGGACCATTTAGCATTTCTATCAGCAACTAAAATCTCTTATCCTTGTGAAAATTATCCTAGTTTATTATGTAATTTTAAAAATGGATCAAATTCTATCTATTCCATATGGCTAACCAATTGTCCCAACACCACTATCATGAAGTCTATATTTGTCCCACTGATCTGAGATACTGTGGTGGCAAACAAATTCCTTTTGGAAGTGAGCCTATTTTTCGATCTTCTATTCTGGTCCACTGATGGTCTCTTCATGTGCCAGTATCAAATTGTTTTAGTTATAAAGGCTTCACAGTACTTTTAATGTCTAGTACAGCTAGCCCCCTCATAATGTTCTTTTTCAGTTTTCCTAGTTCTCTGAAATAATCGCCATGCTGGGTGGAGAGCCACTGTTTATAAATATATTCCTAAAAGCAAAAGAAACTACTTAAAATATAGTCAATGTTTAGCTTTTAATTATAACAGAATCCTTTACTATGTTCTTAAAGAGAAAAATTATAAAAGATATCAATTAATAAAGACATTGATCCTATTAATAAATGTCCAAAATTCTCAAATTCCTATTTAGCTTCAAACAGAAAACAAAAAACTTTAGCAAACTTCTAGCTGAATCATGGAAATTTGGGAAGTATATTTGCCACACTTACATTAGCTATCACTTATTTGAGAGAAATAAGACATAACAAATCTGAATTACTAACAATTTGTTAATTTCTTTGTGTCACTGACAACTCTAAATATACATGAAGTTCACAGAAACATATACCTGGCAATCCTCTCCAGCACCACCTGACTGATTCAACAAGTGTGCTGTATCACTCTGGTTAGTAGCTGCATGTCCAAGACGATGTTTCACAGGAACTTTGTTAAGAACATATGCACCTGGTGTCTGTGGTTTGTTCATCATCTGAATATATAAAATAAATACATATGTATGTGATAAAAGGTTTTTAAATGCTTAAGAATGATACAAATTTAAGATAGTGATTACCCTGGAGAGAAAGGTAAGAAAGAAAATGGAAAGAAAAGGTGCTTTAGTTATTTGTAAGATTTACTTTTTAAGTGAAGATACACCAATGATTATTATCATTCATTCTTTTTTGAATGTCTGAAATATGTCACAACAAGTCTACAGCCATACCACCCTGAACTTACCCAATCTCATCTGAAGTATGTCACAACAAAATGCATGCATACAAGTGTATATACTCATACAGAGAAAAATTTCTAATAGTTTAAAAAATTCCTTCAATATGTTTTTACAGATATAAGAGTTTTAATTGACAGCAGCTTACTTATAAATTAATAGTATTATGACCACCCCTGAACATAATACATATTAGTCTTCATTAACATAAAAGGGTCTAACGATCACAGAGGTGATGATATTACTTGTTTATATACCATTTAGCCAAAGTCTAGGGGAAGCATTTACCTTTGGGCCCTAATATGAAGTGGGACCTAGACAAAACAAAAGCAGAGATAGGTGCAAATAAGCAGGATGATGAAGTTAAGACTACTTAAGGAATAAGTTAAAAAATCTGAATGCATTTAAACAAAACACCTAGGAGGAAATAATCATGATCACCAATATCTAAATGGTTTTAATGCATGGTTTAATGTTTGTTCTTTCTTTCCTTCATCTGTTCATTGAAATGTATTTTGAGCAATATGTACCAGGTCTTGTTTTCAGGTACTAGGGATAGAATGGATAGAACAAACAAAAATCTCATTCCTTGCAGCTTCCGTTTCAGTTTTAAAATGAAGAGAATTTTTCTAAATGAAAAAAAGTAGAACAAAAAGATGGGTACAAGGGTAACTGATTCTAATCCCAAAACTCATTAAGTTCTAGGTTCATAATTGTTCAGTGGTAGACTTTAATATTAAGAGGAATCACTAAGGGTATTTCTTAAACATGAAGATTTATGGGCCCTATATCTAGAGATTGACTATAGGTATGGAAAGACAAGGCCCAGGAATTTATACCCCAGTAAGTGACTCTCAAACTTTAGAGTATAAAAGAATCACCTGGAGAGCTTGTTAAAATAAAGATTCTTGGGCCCTACCACAGGAATTCTGATTCAATATGTTGGGGTGAGGCCCAAGAAATTGCTCTCAGGACATTAGATGCTGCTGGTCTGCAGATCAAACTGAAGGGCTGTAATGTAGAAGACCAAAGGACCACAAATTCCCTGTGAACAGCACATTACCTTCTGGATACCTCCATGTACCGTTGCGGGAGAAGACTGCTGATGAAGGTGCTGAGGCAGGTGATGGTGCTGCTGTGACAAGTGACTAAGTGTTTGCTGCTGTTGCAGGAGCAGCTGTGCTGGGGACTGTAGTGCTGGTTGCTCATTATTCTCTCTATACCACAGGACTCGGATGAATCGGTTGTTTAGAACTGCTTCAGTGCTGGAAATGGCTTTCCTGGCCTCCTCATTGGTAAGATACTGGATGAGGGCTGCTTCTGGATCTCCCTTAAAAGCAACCTATGAGAAAAAAACAAAAGCAACAAAACCGAAAACTCAAGATATAACAAATAGTTAAATGCAAGTAAATTAAGAATTCAGAAGTAGAAAACAGCCTGCTGAAATCCATTATGAATCCTTTGTAAATAAAGTTCTCTATCCCCTAAAAGATATGCCTATTTCAAAGTTATATATCGAAGAACATTGGATCCCTCCATGATATCTCACACTCAAATTAACTCCACAGAGAGAAAATATTTTACAATAAGAAACAAAACACCCCATACAAACCCAGGAGAAAAAAGGTGGGTATTTATATAATCTCGGGGTTTGAAAAAGCCCATGTAAGCATACCTATAAAGGTAGGATCCATAAAAGCAAGCAACAGATTTGGCAACATAAAATTTTATAACCTGTCAGTCCAAATATGACATAAACAAAATGAATGACAAGTGAGAAAAGTTATTTTTAACATGTATGATAACCAAAGGCTTGAAAGAGCATTATTATAAATGTCTTCCATAAAAAAATAGGCAAAGACAATGGATAGGTAAATCCAAAAGAGCTGTAAGTGGTCATGGTCTACATAGTAAGAAAAAAAGCAAATTAAACAATTTTTCACTTAAGCTTAATTTTAAAATTTAATGGATGCATATTATAGTGTTGATGAGGTTTTAGACATTGCATTTGGAGGTATCAATTGGCATAACCCTTTTGGAGAATGATCTGGCAGTTCAAATAAAAGGTCTTAAAATTCCCTTTAATTCAGCAGTGCACCATAAAAAATAATGAAAGCTTTATCCATACAGAAGCTCACCAGAGCATTGTTTTTATATAAAATAATAAAAACGACATAAACTCCCAACTACAGGAAAGAGTTCAATAAATTATGGTCTATTGCTATGGACTAAATAATGGCCCTTCCAAAATTTGTTATGTTGAAGCCCTTAACCCCATATATGACTATTTAAGAATTAACTTTTAAGATGTAATTGAGGTTAAATGCAGTCATAAAGGTGGCGCCCTAATCAGACTGGACTATTGGCCTTACAGGAAGAGATATCTTCCCTCTGCCATGTGAGGACGTAGCAAGAAGGTGGCCATCTACAAGCCAGAAAGAGAGTACTCATCAGAAACCCTTTTGGCCAGCACCTTATTCTTAGATTTACCCCAAATAAATTTTTATTGTTTCAGCCACCTAGTTCATGGAATTTGTTATGGCAACTGAAGCAGACCAATACACCCATCTATACTAAGCTAAGTTTTCTAAATGCCATAAAAGAATAATAACCTAGGAAAAACTTAAGAGAAAAAAGATAGACTTTTGGTATGGTCTTATCTTTTGTATTTTCTTAAGTGTGTGAAGCATTTTTAAAAAGAGAAAGTGTGTTTATGTACATATGTATTCTTCCATATAAATACAGTATGTCTTTTCATCAAAAGATTAATAATTATTATTGCTAAGGGTTGAGATTTGGGTGATTTGCTTATTTATTTTTATTTAACGGATTCCCAATTATCTATAAAATTAAACATGCATTAGTTCAGCACTCAGGGGGAAAACTTGCTCAAAAATCTCTCAAAAACAATAGTATACCTCAATTCTTTGAAATATCAAGTCTCCCTATACTACCTTCTCAAACTCAGTTATATAGATTGTATTTTGGTTTGATGGAAACACTAAATATCAGAGGTAACTGACTGAAACTGTAACTTAAGTAGGTTTCCAAATATCCTCAATTATAGCATAACACCCAATCACAAATTTCCAATTTAAAATATTTAGTAAGTAGACAGCAAAATAGAAAAGCTACAATTTGATGTGAGAAAACATGTTGTGCTGCCTAAAATTCTCAGGATGATCCTTAAGCAATAACTACTTCACCACAATATAAGAGTCAGTTGGTAGACAAAATTACAATCTTAGAAATTACCAAGAATCTCACGTACCTAGTTAGAATATTAAAGCAGGCAATAAAGTCATTTGTCCAGAGACAGAACTATAAAAGTACAATAGCTAGTGCAGTGTCTTAACACTTAATTAGTGTGAATTTGCAGAAAAGAACTAAGTCAGTTTAAAAAAACAAATTCAGCTTAACAATTTCATCATTAAATTAGACATACAGATATGTAGTGATAGCACAGGTAACCAAACTAATCACTGGCTCTTTTAAACAAGGTAAGCTGGTAGAAATATTTTCAAAAATGCTAAAATGCATGGATTCTGTCACCAAAATAGCCACATGTACCTGGATGTTCACAATAGTTCCAAATTTGCTGAAGTGTTCATTGAGCTTGGTGATGTTGTTCAATTCCTGAGGGATTTTCTTGACTTCTAATTTGGTATTTGTATACTGATTCTTTCTCAAGAATCCTGGTTTACTCTGACTGTTATTCCCTTGCCTGAAAGGAAAAATAATAAATCTTGGTTAATTCTCTTACCTTATGCCTAGCCAAGAGATGACATGTCAGCAAGAATGTAAGGTTGTATTTACTAAGAGTGTCTTTTGTAAGCACTCAAAATTCTTAAAAGTATTAAAAGTTTTTTACATCCTTATTAAATGGAAATCGCAAAACTAAGATTAAAAATCATGCTAACAAGATCAACCACAATAATCAAGGAATCTAACACTAAAGCAAGATCAGAATAACATTTTTATGGTGCATTTTTTAACTTCTGCAAGATTACAGAATTTTTTCTTTTTTATTCATTTCCAGAGTCTCATGAATTCTTAATATCAGGTTAAGCCTAGAAAGAAGTAAATATAAATTATTAATATTTACAATATTACATTCTGTTAGCTTTTCAATTTTTAACACATTCTAAGGGTATCTCTGAGAATGCTACCTTTGAGACACACAGAATGATTAATTATTAATGACAACTCTTAATTATACAAATTTACTAATTCAACAAAATAATAAAAACAACTATCAGATGTTACTAATCAGCAAATTATCTTACTTTCCCAGCCAAGGTTTCTTTGTGAGTGGCCCTTCCAAACCACCCACTGCTCTTTTTCGGCTATCTGGTTCAAGAACTACTCTGGTTATGTTGCTATTAATTGAAACAGGAACTGGAGGTTCAGTCTGGATGACAATGTTAGCAGCTGTTGAAAACAAAAATTAATATTACTGACAATGCATTACATTTGGGGAATTTCAAATGACTAACGTATTTAGTCCAAAAGCTAAGAATCACTGTGAATAGCACCCAACTATTTCCTTTTCAGAAAAACCTAAGCAAAACTTCAATTACCTCCTTTTCCTACTTTGTTGGAAAACAAGGTATTTATCTGGTGCCAAAGTATCACGCTATGAACTATTCACTTTACAATGGAGAGACAGAACAATGATGAATTATCACCCCAGGCAAACAATCAAACTCAGCACCATGAACAGTAATATTATTTGTCTCCTGATGTAATTAAATAAGAAGTTCACCAGGATAGGCTACTACTATGGAATTATAATTTTCTTATGTGTGACAGTAACACAGTAACATCTAAGAATAGGACTATGTCTTATTCTTAGATGTAAACAAAAGTGTCACAATCTACAATTCAAGTGATTCAAGAAAAAAATGTGAGGGGATGAAGAGGGTAAACAGGGCCAAATATATGATTGACAGAAGGAGACTAGACTTTGTACAGTGCAATATACAGATGATGTATTATAGAACTATACACCTGAAACCTATATAATGTATTAAACAATGTCACCCAATAAATTTAATTTTTAAAAAAATGTAAGGGAAAAGGAGAGGAAGTCAGAGTGCACAGGCACACAAGCAAGCATTTGTGTCCAAAGGTGACAAAACGTTAACAATTGGTGAATCTAAGTGAAGGTATTCAGGTGTTCATTGCACTTCTTTGATTTTCTATAGGCTTAAAAATCTGGGGGGGGCGGGGAAGCACTGGGGGGGGCTGGGCTGGGAGTAAAAAAACAGAAAACTGTACTTGAACAATAATTAAATTTTTAAAAAATTAAAAAAATTTTTTAACTTAAAGTTGACAGGAAGAGTCCAAAATCAATAAAAACTAGCACATTTCATTTACAACAGTTAAGACTAAAATATTATAAGAAACTGACCTTACAATGAATTATTTCTGGGTGGGAGAAAGGTGATGAACAAAAATGTAAATTAACACAATATAATGCCTGTTAATACTCTGAGTATTCTCCTTATCTTTAGCAATTACATCAAAAGTGAAATCAGCAGCAAAGTAACATACGGAGGGCTAAATACTACAATAAGAATGGGGGTTGCTTATGCTATTTTCCATTTCATCTATGTGAAAGGAAAATTATTATGTAGATTCATTCATTCATTCATATATTTCTTAAGCATCTGCTATAGCTTGATAATTGTGTTATATCTTGGGTATAAATTAGTAAAATATGATCCCAGACCTTCTAGGCCTCTCTGTTTTCAGAGGCTAACAGATGAGAGAGCAATTGTGATGACATAAAGCATTCTGGAATGTAAGATGCCATTATGTTGTCCCTAAAACAGTTACCATCACTACCTGATATTGCCTAATGCTGTTCTTGACTGAAGTGATTTATAAAGAGACATAGCTTAGCCCTGGCTGGTGTAGCTCAGTGGATTGAGCACGGGCCTGCGAACCAGAGTATTGCGGTTCGATTCCCAGTCAGGGCACATGCCTGGGTTGCAGGCCAGTTCCCAGCAGGGCACTCATGAGAGGCAACCACACATTGATGTTTCTCTCCCACTCTTTCTCCTTCCCTTCCCCTCTCTCTCTAAAAATAAATAAATAAAATATTTTAAAAAAAAAGAAGTGTTAAAAAAAAAAAGAGACATAACTTAGAGGTCGACTTGCCCAAGAAGACAAAAAAAGCCTGTTGTATAAAAACCATATAACTTCTACACTGAGAAAGATTAATGGATTACTGTATATAAATATACAGACAGATCAGGCTAGTGACAAAGACTTGAAATTCCGAGAATATGATCTTCCTGCTAATTACCATAATTTGGTAAAAATATATGCTTTACTATAAACATAGAAGGTAAGAGCATATTCTTTGGAATTAGACCAGGGTTCAAATTTCAGTTCTGCCATTAAGAGCTGTATGACTTGGGGTAGTTCTTTAAGCTCTCTAATCCTGAATATCTGTATCTATAAAAAGACAATAAAGTAGTACCTTTTCAAAAGATTTGTTGGTAAGGAAAATAAAAGATAATAATAGATATAAAAGCATGTGGTTTAGTAGACACCAAACTGTTGACCTGTAGTGGTGTTATTAGTGTTAGTAAAAAAAAGTTAAAAAAGCAGGCCCTGGCTGGTGCAGCTCAGTGGATTGAGCGCGGGCCTGTGAAGCAAAGGATCATGGTTCGATTCCCAGTCGGGGCACATGCCTAGGTTGCAGGCCAGTTCCCAGTGGGGACACATGAGAGGCAACCACACATTGATATTTCTCTCCCTCTCTCCTTCCCTTCCCCTCTCTCTGAAAATAAATATGTTTTTTAAAAAAGGTTAAAAAATCAGGATAGGAAAATACTCACTGTATAATTAAAGCAGAAAAATCTTGTTAGGTTGGCCTATGGCTAATCGTTCAAACTGAATTAAATAATGAAAATCTAACGATAATAAAAAATTGAAATCTCATCATATTCACCCAAACATTTTTGAGAAGGAAAAAGGAAGTTATCAACCCATTCTGAAGGTAAATGCTTGAATTTCATCTTCTAAGGTTTATGACTATTCTTTCTAAAGGTCCTAACATATGGCTACAATCATAAACACTAAAAATGGTCAAATGGTTTCACTGCAAGATTTTAGATTCTCAATTGTTACTAGTACAGAATACAGCTCTTACAAATTACAATACAAAGGAGGCCCTTAAATAACTGGTTCATTCTTTGAGGACAAGATTCTAAGTCACTTCATTTTTCTATGCTTAGTATCTAGCACAGTGCCTGGTACATAGCTAAACAGCCTAAAATCCTAAAAAAAGCAATTAAATACCACTAGTATAATTTTTATTTAGAGATACTTTCTGATTATAGCTTTAAAATAAACTTTGGAGATAAAGTTGTTCAAGAACATTTATTTAGGTGATTATATAGCACCCTTCAGAGATAGTATGTAAATATTTTTAGACCTCAGTGAAGTCAGAAATGTTATTATCAACTCCTGCACAACACTTAGCATCAGAAAAAGTTTGAGGTGCTCTCACCTCTTGGATTTGCATCCATATCTCCAGATGTCAGGCCAATCAGGTTTGGGCGCTGTGTCTGTGTTCTTGAGAAGAACTGTCTGTACTGAGATCTACCAGAACTGGTAATACTAGGAGCTTCTGGATTATAACCATCTGGTTCATACGTATCTGAGGAAAAATAAAACAAAACATGTAACAAATCAGAACATACTTAAATAATTTCTCATTACTATAAAATAAATGGAAAAAAGTAAATTTCCTTCAATAAATTTAATTGTATCAATCCACATATATTTATGAACTACAGTATACAGATACACCTATCAGAAGAGAAATAAAAGTGCTCCATCACAAAATACAGATACACAAATTAATTCTCATTAACTATTAATATGCTTCCAGATTTATTTAACTACTCATTTTTATCCTATAAATCACCTCATTCCAACTTCAATGGACATTTTTAAGAGAAATTTTCACAAACATGGAACACTTTATATAATAGACTGGTTGAGTTTTCCTCTTTCGTTATGTGTCACCAACTTCTAGGTACTCTTTTAATTAGGAGGAAAATAGATCTATTACTTAGGTTATCTGCACTTTACACTGGGGAGATAATAGCTGGTTTCATACATAATATTTCAAATATTTTATTTCAAAAAGCAAAATAAGGTAAATTTTACATTTATCAATGAAATCATCATGTTATTACAATCTACCCCATCAATGCCATTTCTATCATGTCCCTTTTGTTTTCTCTACAACTAAAAATTTCATTTTTTAAATTCCAATACTAAGTATTTTGTTAGTATTAAATAATTTTTGAATGTTGATATCCGAATAGAATAGATCCTCTTCATTCTACATAAAATGAAAGGGTTAAGATCGAGTAAACATGCTAAATTGCATTTTTTTGCAAATGTAATTTAGAAGTGCTTGCATCTCTTATTTTTCCCTTTAATGGAAAAATTCTTTATATCGTTCATATTAAATTTCAACTAAAAGATCTTTAATATTGACCAATCATTTCTGTGATTCAGGGTATAAGACCATCAAATTATAATAAAGTTTTCAGGTACCATTTTGTTCTCTTGACAAAAAAAATCTACTTAAAGCTGCAGAAAGTTTTAAAGAAGTTACATAATCACATGACTTTGTTCTATAATTCCTGGGAATCCAAAGTACCCAAGAAACTTTAAAAAGTCCTTTAGTTAATTATAATAAACTAAAATCTAAACACAAAGTGAGAAATATTAAAAACTTCATGACACACCCACAAAGCAGTACAAAGATCTTCAAAATGTTACTTGTCAGTAGGAGAAATGAGTTTTCAGGAAATTATACAGCCATTCCACACAATAATAGGCGGGGGGGGGGGGAGCACATTTGTCCACAACCAACACAAAACCAGATGTTTTAAAAAAAATTAGCCCAGTTTTTCTTATAATATATAACTGATTAGAAATCTATCAGATTAAAAACTAGTTTAAGAAACAAGCATGACTTTTGTTACTAAGGCAATGGAAGTAAATACAAAAGACATCAGAGATGATAGACACACATGAAGCCTAATCATCTAGGAGCCACTAGGGACAAACCAAAGAAGCAGAATGGGGGGGGTGGCAACACACTAAGAGCTTTAAGGAGAATTAGTGATGGCACAGCAGGATGCCAGATCATCTCTTAGGCTAGCCATCTTATGCTACAAAAGATCGGAGAAGTGGATGGCCATCTGTAGCAACGCTTACCTGGGACCAGAGGGGTAGGGCTGGAGACTGAGGTATGGTACCCAATGGAGGATCCCATGAGGTTTCGAGGTGGCACCAAACGAGCTGCCAACAGAGGAGGCGGTGTTCCCAACTGAAGTCGCTCAGATGCAACAGCACCATGTTCACGAGAGTACATGGGCTGTCCTATAGAGGAAAGAATAGGAGGGCAGCTGGGATTGAGAGTCACAAGCTTCTCTTAGGCAGTGATGTACTTCCCAGACTCCAGCCAAGAACAGAGAAAGTACACCAATAGGAACAGTATTTGAGGAAGAGATTACTGAGACTTCTTTGTAACTCAAGAAATCGATATGCAAACTGCTTAGGATGCACTGAGGTATAAAGAAAGAATAAGAATTATGTATTATGACTGCATAATTTTCATCTTTTATAAGCTTAGTGGAATAACTATGTGCTAATTATACCTAAAACTGAAAAATCAACCATGTCAAGTTATTAGACAAAGGAACCCTGTGCTATTATTATTAGTCATGTAGAGAATTGCATCCATTGAGACATGTGGTTATAAAGGCTGTCATGCCCACTAAAAAACAAACAAAAAAATACTCCTCCTCAAACTCACATAATTTCAGGTTGGCACAAAACACACTCCCATATCTGGGAGCAGAAAAAAACAGTAATAAAAGAACTCAAAAAAAAAAAAAAGAAAGAAAGAAACACCACCACAAGCAAAACCTCAGATAACAAGAAACACTCAAAAGAAAAAATCTGAATAGTGAAAATCTGTTATCCCTTAAGCAGGTAGATAACTAATATAGAGAAACAGGAAAAAAGAACAAACTCCCAGATAAACAGATAAGCCACCACTGTACATATGAAATAATCTCAGATATTAAGAACTACTTTATGAAAGAGAAAACCTTTAGATCTTATACATAGATGCAAGAATGTCAGACTCAAGGAAGACAAATTTTGTAGGATAAGATTAAAAAAGAAAAGGTATCAAGGAGCAAGATCTCCCTTTATAGTACTTTTTCACTGATAGTACTTTTTCACTGACTACCCCTATGAGACTTACTTATAAGATTAATTCAGTATTTTACAACTAAAGTTAGACATTCACTATGTGACACAAGAAAAAATAAAGTGAATACACAATCTTTTAAAACACCCTATGAAATCACCCTAAAAACTGTAAAATTTCACAAGATTTTTAATATACTTAATAGGACAAGGCACAAAGCAACCATTTCATTTCACAGGAAATGTAGAGGGAAGAAAATGGATGTGTTAAACTTTTATTACCTTCTCTTTCTATATATGGAGCAAAGGAGGTGACACACAGTATTAGCAGAATACATACTATGGATTCAGCACCAATATTTTCAAACACTTACATTAGAAAAGGATCAATCATTATATTGCAAAAACAACATATCCTCAATGATCTAAAAATAGTTGTGAGGATGACCTACTGCAGAGAATTCCTTGCAGAATGAAGTAGCATGCTAAAGAAAAAACAAGAAGTACAATCTCAGGCCATGTGACTAGTTTAAATTTGTGATGCAGGACTCTGTGTAACAGTATATTTAATTAATTATCTCAAAGTGGAAACCAGAAGGCTAGTTTGCACAGTGTCTCTTTTAAAAACAAATGTCAAAGGACATGTGTTCAAACACTTTGGAAAGATTGTCATTTATTCAGATGAACCCTAATTTTCTTCAATACCAATTGAATTCTCTAAATACTATTTCAAAATTAAAGAGTTCTGTTGATTAAAGACTGTTTCTAGGTCTGGGAAGATATGTTATTAGATAAGGCTGGTGGTGCACCTTGGTATACCATATCCTTCCAGAAGCACGATGGCTATCAAACACTAGCCTGTCAAAAACAAAACCACCTGCAGGAGCCAACATGAAGAAGATCCCAATGATCAAAGATGAAATGTGGACACTGAAAAGGCTGTAAGGGAGTGAAATACATTAAATGTTAAAAATGTATGAGTTCATTATGATATTTTTAAAAATACAGTGGTCCCTTCTGGAAGATACTAAGAAACCAACTCATTATTCCAAAACTGGTAAGTAAAAGAAAACAAGCATTTATGCTTTCTTTCCTGCAAAAATTTCAGGTTAACCAAATAATTATCACTGAGTTTTACTTTGTAGAATGCTAGCCAATAAATGTACCAGAAATTATATAATTACAATATGACACTTTTATAACTGCTAATGAAACAACAGATCTAGGCAATAATCACAATGGCTGCCAAAACCATCAGCAACCTTTAAAATGGATGGATGGGGAGGACAAAACCTGTACACACTGATGAATCTTTATAACAGAACAGAGACAACTAGGTTATTATGTACCTAATATGGTACTGCAGTAGGAAGTATATAACTCCATCAAAAATATTCATGCCAAAAAAGAAAAAGCCAAATATGAACCTATTTCTAGATCTAACCAATTTTCAGGAAATACAGGGGATAGAGAAATGTTTTATATGACACCAGGAGAAGCAATGTCCCAAGACCAGAAAGTAAAAAAAGAATTCTCCAGGACGAATGACCTGTTTCTTTGATAAATAACAAGGGAGGAAAAAAAAAAGAAACATATGGAAAATTGTTGTAGATTTAAAAACTTAAAAGAAATATATCAACTAAATATACTGTGTAACCTTGTTTGGATCCAGCTTCAAATGCATCAGCTGTAAAAGAACATTGACAGCACAAGTGAGAAACACCAACACTGAACTCACTGCGTACTTGACAAAGGATAACTGTTATCAACTTTTTGGGGAGTGTGATAAAGCGCTATCATTGTGCGTGTTTAATCCGTATCTTTTAGAGAAAGATAATTAAGTTTTTTAACCATATGTTGATAACACTGAAGATGGTAAATGAATGCATAAAAACTACTATAGAATATTTACTCTCCTGTGTATATCTGAAATTTTCCATAATAAAAAGTTTTTAAAAAATCAAATATGTTATAACAATGGTGAAGATGAGCCATTCACAATGTATATACAGTCAATTCAGTTTTAACCAGTGCACAGTGACTGGGTAATTCCAGACTTCAAACATACCAAGCTCATGTTCCTATCTTACGTTGGTCCTTATCTTACATACCCGATAGCAACATTTTCACATTATTATTAACTCCAGTGAGTTGAAGATAGTCTTTATTCAAACTCAAATTTTAGCTACTCTTTGTAAGTTTCCTCATTGTGACTTTTAGTGCATTCACAGGGGGAAAAAATTCTAAAATAAGTTTTAAATGAAAAGCCCAATTAGAAAAAATATAAAGCTATACCTTCTAATTGTTGGCCAAATTTATCATGTATGTTCTCTATTAGTGAATCCACAGTCCCTCCCTGGCCCACCTTCTGAAGTTCTAGGGCCTACGCCATGCCTAGTGCATAGCAGGAACTCAATGAAGAGTCATTTAAAGAGATGAGAGCTTATTTATTAAAAGTATCCCAATGATAATTATTTCTTTGGATGAATATCACTATGTTGAAATGGGCAAAATGATAACTAATGCAATACAAATTCAAGTCATAAACAAGGGGAGAAAAACCATTGACAATATAGAATGATTCTGCTGGACACTGATTCACTTCTCTATATGTCAAAATCCACAATTCTGCACAAAGAAATAATACACATTCCACAAAATGAGCAGCCTTGAGTTTAGGAATATAGTGTTTGAATTATCTTACACTGTTGATAACAGAAAATGTATTTTCGGAAAGACAAAGATAATTTATGTAAATTTATCTGAAAGTGGACAACTGTCTTCAACCTAAGAATCAGGCTCTAGAATCCATGACATTATATTGTACTATTACTTTTCCACACACCTAGTACAATAAGCTTAGCAGTCATAAAATATTTCTACCCTGTCTTCTTCAAAGAAGCAACAAAACCAGACCCAATGTAAGACAGAAAAGAGTCAACTTAAAAATGATCCTGTGAAAATGAAAATAAAGGACACTGGCTAAGTTGTTGACTTCAAATTTGAGCAAAACATTCAAATATTTCAGAGGACATAGTTAATTTTAATAGGTGTAAAACACCACTGTCTTTCCAGACAATTCCAATTACACCTCATTATTTAAGTCCTTTTCAGAGTATCTGTGATGCTTTAACAAAAACAACAAAATTTCAAAGGTTTTTTCCCCTTAAACCAGAACCATTTGACAACTTTTAAATAGCATACATCCTACCCAGTTTCACAGTTGGTTGTTTTTTCCTCTTTTAACATTCAATTTTTCTCTTCTAGGACTACTGATAATTATAGACTAGGTGAGGGTTTTGTTTTTGGCAGAATTAGGTCCTTTGTCACTTGTGTTTCTGAGGCACTCTGTTCATTTAGATTTAATACACTACCACTGGTTTGGGGTTTTGTGTTTTTATATATTTCTTCCCCATTATTAAATATTTGCTTCTTAAGAGAAAAATTAGCCCTGGCTAGCTAGTGTGGCTCAGTGGACTGAGTGCCAGCCTGGGAACCAAAAGGTCTCAAGTTCGATTCCCAGTCGGGGTAGGTACCTGGGATGCAGGCCAGGTTCCCCAGTTAGGGGCACAAAAGGCAGCCAATCAATATATCTCTCACACACTGATCTTTCTCTCTCTCTCTTTCTCCTCTCTTCACCTCTCTCTAAAAGTAAATAAATAAAATATTTAAAAAAAAAGAAAAATCATTCCTTGTTTATCTGTATATTCTCAGTACGTAGCTAGCACTGAGCACAGTCCTACTTTTAACTCCAAAAATCCCGATTTCACTTTTCTGTGTACTCTAGTGACATAATTTTCACAAGTAAATGCCATTTGATACTGTTCTTCACTTACACCACTTTTTGTGCTGTGAATTTTAATGGTAATTTTAATAATAAAATATCCATAATTTTCACTTTCTCAACTTGTTAAAAACTTTTCAGCATAGCTCAAGTTCTCTATTACAATGCAAACATACATATAGCTTTTTACTTTGAACTGAAGTGCTAATTTTTTGAAAAGTAAACTTGAATAATTCTCAAAGGCAATTTTTTTTAAACACAGAAACTATTTTCTTAAAGATTTTATTTATTAATCTTTAGAGGGGAAGGGAAGGAGAGAGGGAGAGAAATATCAATGTATGGTTGCCTCTTGTGCATTCCCTGCTGGGAACTGGCCTGCAATCCAGGCATGTGCCCTGAATGGGAGTCGAACTGCGATCCTTTGGTTCACAGGCTTGTGCTCAATCCACTGAGCTACACCAGCTAGGGCTCAGAAACTATTTTTAAATCAACTGAATAAAAAGATATAAAAAGAGTATAATTAAATAACTATACCAAAAAAAATCCCTTCAATGTTTAGATTGTTATCAGGAAAGATCTCTTTTCAAATTTCTCCATATATTTTAGAATCAAATCTTAACTTTCAAAAAAGGAAAAAAGTAGTTTGCATAGTAAAAGGGACTTAAATTGTCCAACATAAATATTTTCTTTCAATATATTCATTTGCCAACAAACTACGGTAAAACTCATTAGAGATACTGACACAGATGTAAGACAATCCTCTAAAACTTTAATTCACAAACGCCAATGGGAAGTTATCACCTTTTACTGGTCTGAGACAAAACGGAAAAACATATCATTAATATTTCATAAAATTGAATATAAAAAGATTTTCCTTTATCTCGGGGTCCTTTATCCATCTTTCTGGGGTATAAAAATGTATTTTTAAGATTGAAATAAACCAGACAATCTCGGCTCGATTCCCAGTCAGGGCACATGCCTGGGTTGCAGACCAGTTCCCTGTTGGCCAGTTCCCAGCAGGGGACGCATGAAAGGCAACCATACATTGATGTTTCTCTCCCTCTCTCCTTCCCTTCCCCTCTAAAGATAAATAAATATTTAGAAAAAAAAAGATTAAAATATTAGATGTTTTCATGTAAATTCCTTGACATAGCAAAATAAAAGTTGCTCACTATACTGGTCCCCCAAATATTCTTAGAAATGTTTCTAGCCTCTGAAAAACACATGCTTAAAATTTCTGTTCTAAAAGGCCTTTACTGATTTTACTATAAGAGAGTCTTGCTTTAAAAAATAAAAACAGTCTTCAAAAACACATGAGGTCAGATATCTTGTTCATCTTGGCTCTTTAGTGTCTAGCAAAATGCCTGGGACATAGTAGGCCTCCAATAAATGCTGAATTAATTAATATTAAGTTGAGTCAATGAAATGGTAACTTCCAGGTTTTTTAAAAATTAAAATCAAAATTAAATTTTTATACAGTAAGTCCCAATGTTAAACTTCATATTAAAACAGTAATTGCCAGAAATTTTTAACAATTAGAACAAAACAGAATTTTGATCATGAGTCACAGTGCTAAATTTAATAGTATGAAGATGTGCTACATAGAACAGACTCAACTCTCAGATAAATAATCCATGTTCATATTTACAGTTCAAAGGCATTAAGAAATAATGTTAAGATCTGATTCAGGGGGAACAGATGGAGAAAGGATTGATAACTATTGAGGCTGGATGAATTATACTATCTTATTTTTACGTAGGTTTGAAATTTTCCAAAATTAAAAAATGAGAGACACAGTAAAACAAACATGCACTGTAAAATAACACTATAGTAATTAGAAGACTGTGAGATACAAGTGTGACGCAGGAAGAACTATTACTTAAGAATCAGATATGGTTTCTGTTCTGAAGCTCCGTTGAACAAGGTTTATATACATGAAAAGAAATCAAACAATAGGCCTACATACAATTGTTTATCATTTTGTGATAAAAGGTTTTTGATATGGTAGGAGTTTAGAACAGAGCAATAACGTTTCCCATGTATGTATTAGATTTGGGCATTAAAAGAATAGGAGACGCTATTACTAGGAATGAAGATAGGAAAACAAATTGAGCCATGACAGGGCATAACCAACCTGACCAGAGAAGAGGCAGGGAATAGTGAAAACTCACTACCAAGAAGGGCAAAGTAAATTGTAGAAAAGAGTTAGAAGCCACAGAGAGAGATTCACCTATGATTTCAAAGGAAGTAAGTGGCCACTGACAATATCTCATGAAGAACTCACTGTTGGTTCTCTCAGAAAAATTAGTTTAGCAACATCATGTGACATAACTTAGTGGGGTGAAGCCAGTAGCAATAAATAATCCTCAGTATTTACTAAAAGCCTAGTATGTGCCAGGATTCAAGTGTGGATGAGGGCAGAAGCCACAGTAAGAATAGACAGAAAGGGTTACTTCAGAGAAAAAAAAGAACATTTTTGATCAACTAGATATAAAAAAGCCAAGCAATGAGGTAGTCACATCAAAGTTTCAATTCCAGGTGATTACATGGGTAGCATATCTACAGGCAAATAAAGACAGGAATGGTGGAGGGAGAGACTTAAGGAAAAGATAACAGATTTCAGGAGGCTGAAGCTTAAGGAGGAAATAATAAATACAACAGTATACTAACTAATCTTTATATATAGTTTACTAGATGCCAAGTACTATTCTAGATGCTTTATATGTATTAATTCATTTATTCCTCAAAACAACCTTAATGAGGTGAGTAATGTTATTATGATCTCCATTTTAGAGAACAGAAAATTGAGATACACAGACAAGTTACTTGCCCAAAGTCATAGACAGTAACAGTGACAGGATGAAACCAGGATTTGAACCTGAGCTTAATTACTTGCTGAACTGCCTCCCCATAATATGATAGAGATGAAAAAATGTTAATGATAAACACAGTTATATAAAAAATAAATTTATTTATAAAGTTACCAACTACCTTACTTTTATGTTTTTAAAGAAAGAAATTTTTTAAAAGCTCTGGTAAACTAAAAACAAGAAAAAAGCACTTGATAAATAAAAAGAATTAGGATCCAAGAAAAACATATTACTACAGTTAAACATAAATACCATAAACAGCCTAACCACTAAATATTATAATTTGAATTATGCTCTGTCTTCATTTCAGCATACAATTTAAAAAAATATTAGGCACACTTTATCCAATTTTTTTGTATCCTCTTAGGAGATAATCCTTATGTTTTAGAAATTCAATCAGAGAAACAATTTTTTAACAGAAGCTTCAAAATAAATTTCCATTAGAAAATTAAATGTTGCTACTATACAGCAGAACAGATTTCTCCAAAACACAAGGCTTTGCTCTTCTCTCCCATTATCACAAAAATTAAAATCCAACTATATAGCATACCTACACAGTAAACTACCCTGTCAATACAAATATAATTTTATATATCATGATCCATTAGAATACAAATTAAATATATTTTTAAAAAGTATAACACGGATATAAAAAACCTTGGCTTCTCTATGCCCTAGAAATTTTAAGTCAAACAACATTTACTTACGTTCTGAAACTGTATAAAGGAGGTTCTGGGGTAAAGGAGGAGGTAGTCTTGCTCCCACTGGTGCAAGATTGGGCACTGCACTTGTCCCAGGCTGGTCACGGTTGTTTATTAAGCTTGACTGTGTTATGGGTGGCCCTGAGATAACAAAGAGTGAAAGACAGAGCATTAATACACAAGTACCAATCTGGATATTCATACTTAAAACACCTACTTGGCTTAGAACAGATTTAAGGAATTTGATATATGGATGCTTAAGCACTGTAAGGTCACATAATTAAAATGACATTTTATTTCTAGGATAGACAAAACTGTTCTACGGTGAAAAAAAGCAGTATTGGTAGCCCCTGGGGGATGGGAATAGAAAATGGCTGGGAAGAGACTTGAACAAACAATCTGGGGTGATGATAAAGTTCTATAGAAGTCTTAAGCTAATGGTAAACATGTTTTATGTATACTAATGACTGAATACAACACACTGTAAAATGAATAAGTACACAAAAATGGAGAGATTAAAAGATATGTGATAATACAAATATAGTAAAATGTTTATTGTAAAACCTAGATGGTGAGTATATGGGTGTTCAGTGTATACTTCTTTCGACTTTACTGTTTGCTTAAAATATTCCATAGCAAAATGTTAGGGGGAAATGATAGTCTAGGATTTAACTTCTATTCTGAGAATTCCTATAAATAAAGATGCTATTTTCCTGAGAATAAAATCTTGAGTTTTATAATTATACCATTTACATGACAGTACTAAATATTCACAAATGCCAAGTTAAAAGAACCACATTTCTATTGACCACATCTATGCATTACATGTCTCAAAACCTTTAGAAACTTGAATAAAATGTGTTCTATAAAGAACACTGCTGCAGGAAAGCTAGGTGATGGGTACACGAAATCTAAACTAAACTATTTTTGCAACTTCTTGTTACTCTAGCATAATTTCAAAACAACATAAAAAAAAGGAAAAGTTAAAGTAGTACTTTAGCATGTAAACTGAATGACAATCATTTTTTAAAATAATAATTTGCAATCTCCTGGCAATGTGAAATGTCGTCAAGTATTTTCATATATCTTTGCACACATACAAACTATTCACCTATTTTTCAATTACATTAAAAAATTTAGCTTTACTTCTGTTTCTGATAAATTAGCAACTCTTAAGATTTTTAAATGATCATTTTCAAACATTTCTTAATCTTAATTTTAGTAGATTTGTTTATAGCATATTAATTATTATTATTATCATTAAACATTTTATTCATTTATCTTTAGAAGGGAAGGGAAGGGAAGGGGTGGAGGGAGAGAAATATCAATGTATGGTTGCCTCTCGTGTGTCCCCCACCAGGAACTAGCCTACAACCCAGGCATGTGCCCTGACTGAGAATCAAACTAATCCCTTAGTTTACAGGCCCACGCTCAATCCACTGAGCCACACCAGCCACGGCTTAATTATTATTTTTATAAAAAATAAAAACAAGCCAAAAACAGTCCTTTCAGTGAACAGACTCACACTGAAGTATACACTGGTAAAATGATGACACCTGACATTTACTCCATCAAAAATAAGTAACCGCCCCCCAATTTTGGGGGTAGGGATAAATGAGCCAAAAACAGATGAATATTGATAATCCACTAAAACTGGATGACAGTACATGTAGTACACATATTATTCCATCTCTCTGTATATTTGAAATTTTCCACAATAAAGTGTTTTTTAAATTATTTCAATATTCTTAATTTTTCTTTAAAGCCTGGGAAATTTCATTAAACTACTGGCATGTTTTTTTCCTGATATCTTCAAAACACTGGCTTTCTTAAGATGCTATCAACTAGCAAGATTTTGACTCCAGGTCAATATAACTTAAGTAACTGCTGATAAAACTCACACTTTGGAGAAACTACAAATAATGCAACACAACAATAGATGAAAAAAGGAAACAGCACCTAAATTCTATTATTAATTTACTTTTAAAAACTAACTTTAGCTGAAAGAAATGGGTTCTTTGAAATATAATTCTGCACTAAAGAAAGAAACAGTCAATCAACATATACTTACTTGGTATGGGAAGCACAACAGAAGGTGGAGGTTGGCCATGTCCTTGGGGAACAGGAAGTCTCATATTGTGGCCTGGGCCTGGGCCTGGGCCTGGGCCAGGGCCAGGGCCAGGGCCAGGGCCAGGGCCAGGGCCTGGCCCTGGCATTGGAGGCATTAACATTCCAGGAGGTGGTGGAGGAGGAAGCCCAGGAGGTGGAGGGAAAGGAATCATGCTTGGCAGAGCAACTTCATCAACAACCAAGGGATCATTTCCATGATCAAACTGACAAAGGTCACCAAGTACACAAAATCCTCTTTCTGTAAGAATAAAAGAAGAATCTTACCACAATCTACTTAAGAATTCAAAAAACAAACAAAGTAAGTCCCTGAAAAACCCACCAATCTGATTTATAGTGTTTTTTCTCCAAGGAGTCTAAACCCTTCTTGAGTGTTATTGTTAATCATCCCATACCCCTGAGGTGAAGGCAGGTGTACTCTGCTTTATACACTGTAAGACTATGATCTGTTGAGTTAGCAAATAACAAAGTGAAAAACTGATTACAGTCATATTAACCTATTTGCTATGAAATTTTCATAATAAAAATTCAGTTTAAACAAATAGCAATTTAACAAAGGCTGGGAGTATGATGGAGGGAAATAAAAGGCTTGAATTAGATGACCTAATTTCCACTACTATTTTCATGATATTATTCTAAAGCAACTATTCTCACTATTTCTGCAAGTTGAAACTTTAGTTTAAAATCTTCAACCCTGGCTGGTGTGGCTCAGTTGGTTGAGTGCTACATTCCCAAGTGGGGGAATGCAAGAGGCAACTAACTGATCAATGTTTCTTTCACACATTTACATTTCTCTCCCTCCTTTCCCCTCTCTCTAAAAAATAAACAATATCTTAAAAAATAAAATAAAATATTCAAGTGGACATCATGTACTGGATTATTGATTGCAGCATTGTTTATAACAGCAAAATATGAGAAACACCCCAAAAATGCATCAATAAAGAGTAAGTTAAACACATTTTTTGTACATATATGACATTAAAAAACCTAAAAAATATTGAGGAAGTTCTTTACATATTAATGTAAGATGACTACAAAGAAATATTTATTGTTAAGTGAAAAACATTAGGAAGAATGGGAACAGTATAGTCCCGGACAGTGTGGCTCAGTTGGTCATCCTCCCACAAACCAAAAGGTCACTAGTTCAATTCCTGGGCAGGACACATCTGGGTTGTAGGCTCCGTCCCCTGAGGAATGTAAAGAAGGCAACCAGGCAACCAATCGATGCTTCTCTCTCACATACATGTTTCTTACCCTCTTTTCCTTCCTCCCTTCCCCTCTCCAAAATAAAAAATAAATTTAAAAAATTTTAAAAGAATGTAAATAGTATATTAACAGTGATGTAAAAAAGGGGGGAGAAGATATGTATTTGTTTATGTACATATGCAGAGACTATGTTTGGAAAGATACACAAGAAATTAATTACATTAAACAGGCTTTACGAAGGAAGCTCTGTGACTAGGGAGACTAGGGTGAAAGTAAGGTAATGACTGAATTATGAGTTTATTCTATTCCTTACTTTAAAGTAAATGAAATGTAAAAACATATACATTCTATATTTATAGAAAAAAGTTATGTCTGTGATTTGCTTCAAATACTATATAGGTCACAGAGAAATGATGGGATATAGATGAAAATGAGTTAGTCACTGTTGATGTGAAGTCACGGGCACACCAGGGTTAATTATATTATTTTGTCTACTTATATAATATTTTCTTAATAAAATGTTTTAAAAAATACACACCAATTCATTCATTCAAATGGAAAGTGCACAAATAACAAAGTCCCAGCACCAAACACCAAAGAAGTTGTAACCCTTAATGTCTACTAGATTCTGTGGTATATTAAGTGTCTGGAGTAACAAGAGCAAAATACAAAAGATTAAATTTGAACCCTTTCTTAACAAGAACCAAACTACTAAATTAAACAAGTAAATAAACATTTGCCAAAAGAGATTCACCTCTTCATTCACCTCTTTTCATAAAATCTGAAATTCAATGAAAAGTTATGCAATGTTAGCAACATCTGCTTTACTAGTATTTTTGGGTACAGCATAAAAGGTAATGTTTACCATCATAATCTCTGCAGCGCCTCTTTGGGGGTGGGTTTCGACCGAAAGAATTGGAAGAGCTATGATTGTTATAGTAATTGGACCAACTCTCCGTTGTGTTTTCAGAGTGGTGCGCAGGTGCGATCACAGTAACAGTGCTGGGGATAGTCTGTGCCCCAGAGGAATACTGCTCAGAAGAGTTTGGAGGTGGTGCAGACACAGGAACATATGAACTCTCCAAGTCATTCCTTTCACTCTTAAACTTGGATCTTTCCCTGTGCTCTGCTTTAGAAACAAAAATAAGAAATGAGTTAGATTAGACATTTATTCTTATAATGTTTATTTTTTTCACTTAAAAAATAGAAAAGATGAGAATACTGAAGTACAATAAGCTTACTGAGCTATTGATATTTCAAAGTGCTTTCATTATTAACGTATTCTAAAGGCAGGAACATCAACAAAGTGATATATCTTGACCAATGACTTGTGTAAAATCATCTTCTGTAACACCAACACCAATACACAATGAAGAAAGGCCAGCTTCTTCTCTCACATTTAATAAAAATGCTATCCAAGAATTTACTTCCAAACTAATATCCCACCAGATCAGTGGTTGGGAGCCCAGTAATCTACTTAAATTTTTTCTTTTTAATTTTTATAAACTCAAGACAACCTTAATGCAACTCTTTTTTGGGGGGGTTCTAGGAGACAGGCCAACAATCCTCTTCCTCCAGAGGTAGCTTTGTTGATCAAAGGATATTTATTTCTATTATACAAATGGCTTAAGTCAACGCATGTACATACTATGATGCATTTATAAATCACTTCTTTTGAGTCAAACTCCTTTGACACTATCCAGAGAATAAAGCCCTTTGTAATAAAATCAGTATTAAGTTTTGGAGACAGTTACAGATTTTACACCGCTCAGATATATTAAAGGTACATTTGCCTTTAAGAGAAGTTTCTGGTACTCTTGTGATAAAGGAAGATAAGCAACTATGGGAGTCTTTAAGGGGAAGCCTTATCTACTCACCGACATTCCTATTTGGATCCCGGTCTTTGCTACGCCCCCTACTTCGGCTTCGACTTCGACTTAGGCCTCGGCTCTTACTTCGGCTCTTACTCCTGCCCCTTCTCCAGTCATACTTCTCACGGTACAATTCATTTCGCTCAAAGTACCTGTCATAGTCTCTCCACTTGCCATCTTCTCTTTTCTTCTCACATGTTCTATAATACACGGATATAAAAGCCATAGGTACACTATAGAAACCAAGTCTGCAAACGCATCAGTGGAATGAAATATCCTCCTTGATACATCAAAACTCGTAACATCTATGCTTTTTTAGAAAGCCATAACACCACTACATAATTTCTCTAATCCACTACATGAAAAGAAACAACATTCCCTCAAGTACATGGGAGGGAAGAAATGAGGAAAAAAAAAAAAAAGAGGTAAATCCAAAGTATGGAGGGGGTGGGGGAAAAAGAGATATTTAAAGCTAGAAAAGAAGTCTCAAAACAAAGTTTTCCTAAATAAAGACTAATTTTTTTGATGGTAGGCTGATTATTCAAAATATAAAATGAATTAATTATAATATAAAAAAGCTATGGATTATTTTAATACTAAACACCCCTAACCAAATGGAACATTTCATTATTATTCTCTAAGGAGACTGCTCCCACCTCTGAGCTCTTGGGGAAAGCACATAACAATGACTGTTTATAAAGGAAGACAAAGCATGACAAAACAAAAAGAAAGAATGGAAGGAAGAAAGATAAATTTCTTTACTTAGTTCAGAGAGAGAGAAGTCAGTTCATATCTTAAAAATCCCTTTAATGCCCTTGCAGCATAGCTGAAAAGTGAGTTACCAATGTCCTCCTAATTAAAAGTATATACAAACCTTCGTTCACTAGATTCTGAACGAGTCTTCTGGGGACTAGGATATTTCTTTTTTCTGCCTTCTCGTTCTTCCTCCACTGGCTCCTGAAATACCTATATGAAAACATTTATTAGAAACAAGAACAGTCCTCCCACAAATTACGAAACACATCCACCTGATGATGACCTTTCTGGCACAAAGAGAGAACAAATAAATCAACTGAAATACTAAAGTTAAATCACATCCTAAGAAGTCTGAAAACAGGGACGGATAAAAAAGATGCTGTAATTACTTTACCAACAATATGTTGATTTTTAAATTTTAACTTAAGACAAAATAGCAGTGTAGGAGGAAAACAGAAGTTCAAACAGAAGTAATAACAAATCTCTATTTCTAAGCATCATATAGTAAAATGATTTATGTTTTCCTAATTATAAAATACACTCATACATATAATTCATTTGAAAAGAACTCTAGATTTCATAGAAAAGGTTTCAAGAATAAAAAGTTAATGAGCTATAAAATGGCAGTTACAGTATGGCAACCATATGGTACAAAAACACTATACAATCATTAGATTAGGTTTGAAAATCATTCTCTCTACCAATTTTCAGGAAATACAGAGGATACACTACTCCACTAGGATGCAATGAAAAAAATCCAAACAGTGGAAAACTCTACAAGATGAAAGACTGAATTTCTTCAATAAAATAAAAAATAAAAATAAAACAGTTTTTTAAAAAGCAGGTGAGGAAAAGAACGAAATATATAGGCAGGTATGAAGATTTAAAGACTGAGACTTAAAATATATCAACTTGAACATCTTTTTGCTGTTCTGTGTTTGTGGTCATCCTCCCACAAACCATCAAGGACTCCCATCAAGGACTTTTTTGATGAACATGTATTAATTCCTAGGGGGAAAAATACTCTTAAAAAGTCAAAGAATCAAGGAGAAATAAAAACATAAGGCCACTCAAAAACTTGTGAATGGAATGTTCACAACAGCATTTCTCCTAACAGCCCAAAATGTTAACCACCCTTCTATCAACCCAAATATCCATCAACTGATGACTCGACAAAGAAAACGTGCTATACATATACACTATCCATTAAGCCATAAAAAAATGACATACTGATATAACTACACCCTGGATGAACCTTGAAAGCAGTATGTTAAATAGGTGAAGGAAGCCAGTCAAAAAAGATTACATAGTGTATGATTCCACTTATAGGAAATGTGCAGAATAGGCAAATCCATGAAGATATGAAGTAGATTAATAGTTACCTAGAGCTCGGGCAGTAGGAGGGAGGACTTGGGAGAGTGATATCTAACAGGTATGGGATTTCTTTTTTGGACAATGAAACTATTCAAAAATGGACAGTGGTGATAACTGCACAACTCTGGAAATAATAAAAACCACTGTGTTTTGTACACGACTTCCTGTGATAAGATTGTTTTCCCGAAATTATTTTAAACTTTTATTCTGAAATGAGTTATATGGCATTATACTTACAGTTCTTTAATTCACTATATGTGTTGACTTCATACACCCAAACCTCTTATCTACTTTTATGCTACCATTCTAAGAATATGAAAAGTAGATTTTTAAAATAAAATCAGATTATAACCAGGCATGCTAATTTGAAGTTATTCTTCTTTCTTGTCCGCCTGACTTAAATTTTCTACCTCTTATCAATTAATAGTCTGATCATTATACACTTATTTAACAAGTTTTTATTATTTATTATCTTAGTCTATCATACTATACAAGTCTAACAGCCCCCACCCCATAGGACCATTTTAGATATAAAAGTATACTACAGCCCTGGGTGGTGTTGCTAAGTGGACTGAGTGCAGGCAATGTGAGAGTCAACCACACACTGATGTTTTTCTCCCTCTCTTTCTCTTTCCCTTCCCCTCTCCCCTTTATTAATTTAAAAATAAGATAAAATATTTATGAAAAGAAAAGAGTGTAGTACATAGTACTATGGACGGGACAGGCTGGCCTTTGGTTGATGGGTTATTGAGGGTGGGGTGATGAATACTTGGGAATTCATATGCTGTCTCTTTTTGATGTCTGTTGAAAATTTTCTATAATAGGTTTTTTAAAAAATTAAAATGAGCCCTGGGTGATGTAGCTCAATGGATTGAGCATGGGCCTGCGAACCAAAGGATCGCAGTTTGATTCCCAGTCAGGACACATGCCTGGGATGCAGGCCAGTTCCCAGCAGGGGCCGGTTCCCAGCAGGGGACACACCAGAGGCAACCATACACTGATATTTCTCTCCCTCTCTCCTTCCCTTCTAAAGATAAATAAATAAAATCTTTTAAAAATTAATAAAATTAAAGTGAAATAAAGGTACTCCCATACAAACAAAAGGGGGAAGGGGAAGAACTGTGCCAGAAGATCTCAAATTTCTAGGCACGGCTCCCTGTGCTGGGTCTAAGAAAACTGCCTTCTAACATTTCAGATGATCGGGATATAGTGTGAATAAGGAATTTAGATCTATTATCTTCATAGATTGCTCTTTTGCATGTTCATAAACTCAGGGTAAAGGGTTTAATAACAAATTATAACCATGCTAAATTTATAAGTAATTTTCCAACTACATATAAAATGCATGTTTCTTCATAAATCCTAGCATATATCTACCAAGTGTTTTTGTAGCAACAGGACGCCAGTTGTTCCAAGATCCATATTCTTTCACCTGGTTCCCCCTGTGACTCAGTCTAATTGTAAAACAACTAACTGATGATGGTGTAACGTAGCTCAGGACCAAAGAGTCAAAAAAGCTAGTCCTTCGATGGATCTACTCCTCTGCGCCCTGCTCAGAGCAACCACATCAACTAAGTACAGACCAAAAAAGAGACAGTTAGCCAAAGGTATGTGCTACCTCAAACCCCTTTCCTTCCACATTGTCCAACAGAATTATTAGAAACTATTATATTCATATATTACTTATGTCAGTAATGAAAATTAAGTTATATATAAAATCTTAGAAATGCCAGACAGCATCATTTGAGCTAGCTATACAAAGAAGCTGGTATCTATTTTGGTTAACTTTCAAAATTTGGATTTGCTTCAAAGATACAAAATGAAATAATTGCAGCATTTTTTTAAAACTTCTTTCAATCATGGACATGGAAAATTGTGGTGATTGCTGGGGGGAAGCGGGTAGAGGGGACTAAATGGTAATGAAAAAAAAGATTAAATTTAAAAAAACTTTCAAAACTCAAGATAATGCAATTTTTCTCTTATATTCAAACCAGCCATCTTTCAAATAGATGTTTCTAATCCACTGACCTTCAATGACAATATAAATGGACAAAAATTTTCACTATTATTTAACCTACATACCACAGACCAAAATTCTACACTATCAAGTAAGAGAGAAAAGTGTCTTCCTATTTCCATTACTTGAAAAAAACATATTGGGAGGCTTTTTGAATTTTAAAGATTTTATAAGACAAAGGGCGTGAGACAAAAAAAAAAGTGATAGTGGTGTCAAACAATCTTAATTAAGGATAGCCACATTTTGTTTTCTTTTAATGTTGAATCAATTCTATCAGCCTAGCAACTAAAAATGTATCAGAAATAACAACTAAATACAATATGTGATCCTTAGAATGAAGAGGGAAAAAAACACCAGGCTATAAAAATTGGACATTACTGGTCGACTGATAAAAATGGAATAAAGATAGATTATTTTATCAAAAGTTAAATTTACTGAAACTAATAATGGTACTACTAGTTAAAAGAATATACACACTGAATATTTAGAGGTCAAGGATCATGATGTGTCTAACTTACTCCAAAATGATTCAGAAAAAAAATTCTGAGTATGGATAAAGAGAGCAAATGGGGCAAATCTTCAAAAGTAAACCTAGGCAGATGGTATATGGGTGTCTGTGGTAGTATTCTTGTAATCTTTGTATTTTAAAATTATTCTCTAAAAAAGTTTATTAAGTAATTATTAATAAAAACAAAAAATTGGACTTGGGATAGCGAGCACACAATACAGTGTACAGATGATGTGTTGTAGAACAGTGCACCTGAAACCTGGATAATTCTGTTGATCAGTGTCACCACAATAAATTCAATAAAAAGGAATAAAATAGAACTAAAAACAAACAAACAAAAAAAGAAAGTTGTAAAATATTTCTGTATAATAACCAACACTTATGTGCCAGGCCCTAGACTAGGATGTGTGTACGTACAGAAAATCTCATTTAATCCTCAGTGAGACAAGTACTACTATGATCATTATTTTGCTGATGTGCAAATGAAACAGTTAAGTAACTTAGTTTAGAGCTACTATTGGGTTAGCCAAAAAGCCTGTATGGTTTCTTCCATAAAATAAACGACACATTTTTCATTTGCCAATAACTTTATTGATTTGGATATTTTGAATTATGTGGGCTATCCTCCTCATGGTACAACACTGATTGTTCTCAATTAATGTTGCAATTTGATCACTATCAACTTTAACTGGTCTGCCTGACCGTGGAGCATCATCCAGTGAGAAATCTTCAGCATGAAACTTTGCAAACCACTTTTGACAGGTTTGACCACTTTTGACCTTCTCCATACAATGCACAAATCTTTTTCTTTTTTCATTTTATTTCAGTTACATTTTAATCTTTCTTGAAATAAAGCATAATATACTAGAAACATTGTTTATTTTCTTCCATCTTCAATATTAAAATGGCTACACAAAAAATTCACCAATTTTCATAAGTTTTTTAAAAAATGCACGCTGATATGAAAGGTGTCACAATATAATCTAACAAAACTGTTTTGAATGAAATTAAAGACAACTAAGCACCACTGGAGACATTTTACCAAAAACAAATAAACTTTTTGGCCAATCTAATATTTTTAATTCATGCAGCTTGCTTCTAAAACTTACAGACTTATCATAGTATTATGTTATGTATACATAAAAAGAATTACAAAATGAACTTTGTAAAATTTCTTCTTTGATACAAAAATTCAAACTACCTATAACTATGTTTCTGTATTTCAACATTGTAAAAACATTTTTTTCCTTTTCTGTCCTAGGAGTGACATTTATAATTACATTAACTATAAAAAACTCTATTTGGTTAAAAAAGAGGGAATGGTTTCTCTATTTATATGAAAATGTGTTACCTAATGAGTTTTCTTGAGTTTTCATTAGTACTTTAATTCTAGTTAAACCTACATGTTTACCCAAGCTTTCTTTTTCTAAAAATCACTGGATATGAATTCTCTGAATTCCTCAATATTACTAAAATATTTCTTGGATCTCTAAACAAGCAATCCAAAATTCTTCCAACTCTTCAAGTCCAGGGAACTAAGAAGCCCTGAAAGAAAATGTGCACCATGCCCATGCCCCACAAATTTCAGTCAATAGATAATCACCTCGAAAGAGGTCAACTTCCAATTAAGAATATTAATTAACAGAACCTAAGATGCCCCAAAAGCCAAAGAAAACTCTGCATTACCTCTTCTTTAATTTCTTCTTTTTCTTGGACTGGTGGTTTTGGCTCAAGCTTAACTGGTTCCAAAGGTGAAAGGTAGTTCTTAGTATAGAGACTTTCAAATAGTTTATCCACAAAACCTGAAGTTTCTGAAGAAAAAAAATACTACTTAAGCATTTCCTAAACAGAAACTAAAAATCTGACAACACACACTCTATTAACAAAGTAGAGGAAAATTAAACATCTCCTATATTGTTGATGGGACTAAAAATGAGTCTAACCCCTTTGGGGAGAGAATCGGACCTCTGGGCTTTTACGTCCTTTGCACATACTTGCACATGCACAAAGTGACGTATGCAGGTCACACTCCCCAAAACCAGAATTTATAAAAAACTGTGTATTTATTCTCATGTTTAAACTTCAGTTACCTTCAAAGTATTCTCCATTTGATGCAATACACCTATTGAGATGTTTTTTTTTTCCATTGCTCAAAACAGTTTTTGAACTCCTTGATTTTTATCCCTTTCAGTCCTTCTGCTGGTTTGTTTCACCTCTTCCACACTGGCAAAACAATCCCCTCTGAGGACTTTTCTCATTCAGGGAAATTTTTTAAAGTCACTCAGGGCGAGATCAGGTGAATAGGGTGAGTGGGGCATGGGGCTCATGCTATTTCTGGTCAAAAACTGCTGAACACTCAGCAAGGTGCAGGCACTGGTAAATCACCCATTGTGAAATGAGCAAATGCACTGAAAGAATCTTTAAAAAAAAATTCACTGAAGCTGAACACAGCCTCTCACAACAAAGCCAGTCAGTACACTGATACAGATGGGTTCCTAGAACATTCAAATAGCAGAAGCCTGTACAAGGGGCCCACCGTCCCTAAGATAATTTCAGGGTTTTTTTTTTCAGTACGTAACAGTAAGCAATTGGGGGAAAAACAAATTTCCATGAATAAGAGACTAGCTAAATAAATTATGTGACAAACATACAACAGAATACACAGTAAACGTAGAAAGAATTGAGTACTAATAATATCAGTTCTCAAAGATACAATAAATATTTGTATGTTTATATTTGCAAAAAAACTGACAAGGCACAAAAAATGCGTACCGGTGGTGGGAAGAGAGCAGATGAAAGACAATTTTCACAGCACCCCTTTTTGTGCTGGATTACATGCACTGCCTACTCAAAAGTTTAATTAAAAGTATTTTTATATCAGCTGAAAAAATTTAGACATGAAAATTATATAAAAGAATCTTTTTGTGTTTTAAAGGCGGCTCAGTTTTGTAACATTTTTGGACTGAGAGAACCAGATGAATTTATTAAAAATACAAATGTCAAAATATTTGTTATTTGAATCAAATTTTAAAAACTTTCATTGGTCCTATCCTAAGGAATAAAGAGCATATTAAAAGTACAACACAGACTCTGCTTACATTGTAATTACACATTTTACATAAACAGCTATTTTTAAAACATCTAATTTTCCTACAGAAAAGCATCTTTATGCTATTAATTTGTGTTATTTTTCATGATTATAAAACTGTTACAATTTGTTAACTGTTATAAAACTTTAAAAAATAAATTAATCAAACCCTTGAAAAGCCTTTATTTCTATGATCAGTTATTTTCTCTCTGGTGGCAAATGTATGGCAATTTATTTTCTTCTTTAAAATTCTTCTTCATGTCTATTGTTTTTGTTAATTCTTTTTAAAAAGTTACTAAAAATGTTAAAGCTTTTATAACAAGGAATTCTTAGATGCCTAAACATACATTTGCCTCTTACCTCAAATGTCTTTGCAATGTGGCTCTACATTTTATAGGACTCATCTTTAATGGAAACCGAGTAATACAAATTAATATACTTAGAAAAGAAAATATATATACTGGGGAGGAATTCTTTAGATATCAGTAATTTTTTTTCATAGAAAAGCCTTAAAATAGCACAAAAAATATGTAATCTTATGTTTTAGACTGAGGAACCACAATTACTCTTTTCTTTCTCAGTAAATATGAGTTAAAGGACCACCACCAATAAACAGATCAATCAGTAAGTGTAAATAATCCACATTTCTGTTCTTGTATTCAGCAATATTTACAGAGTATCTTCTGTGTGCCAGGCACTGTAGGTTCTAAGTCTCTACTCAACAAAGGGAAAGACAAAATGGGGTCTGGGGGAGAGTACATATAAACAGGCAAATCAACATATAACATGAAAGGGAATGACAAGTGCCATGAAAAAAATAAATAAAGCAAGGTTGGGAAGAGAGTGACTATAGGCATAAGCATACAGGGCACTAAGAAGAAACTAAGAGATTTTCAACCAGTGTGCCTCAAGAATTTTTAAAACATGCAACACCTATTTAGTTAGAGGCACTGAGCTCTTTATCTTTAGATTGCGAAATTTAAAAAATGACAACCGACACAACAATAGCTGTCCAATGTGAATGAATCAAAATTATACCTATTTTTTGTCAAGATTGGCAAAAAATGTATTTTTTGGTATGCCACAGAATTTTAATAATAAGTTTATATGCACCATGAGATGAAAAAAGGTTGGAAATTGCTGCTCTAAGATGACATCTGAAAAGAAAACAGAAACCATAAGGGAGAAACCATGCTCCAGGAAGATTTAAAGAGAATTCAAAAGCCCTGAGTGGGGAACATGTTTGGCATGCTGAAAAACAAAAAAAAAAACAAAAAAAAACAGCAAGGTAGTCAGTGTGGCTAGAATAAACACTAGGGAGGCAGGTAGGAAATGAGGTCAGAAAAGCAGCAGAAGAGAACTCTTAGGATTCTTTGTGTACTACAGAAAGGACTTTGGTAAAAAGATGGGAAGTTAAAGGCACAAAGAGAAGAGGATTATGCCCATCTCTTCATGGAGACCAAAAAGCCCCAGTCAAAAGGAGGAAAAAACAGCTTCATTATCTTAATAAACTGTAAAAATAAGCAGTTTCATTACTCTTAAATCACACCCCCACCAATCAAGTAGGCCCTGCCACAAGCCACAAGGGACCTGTTCACCTAAAAAGCATTTGTTAACACTGCCTTAACATAGGAAAGAAACAGACAAGAAAAGGGAAAAACAGTTCTGCCAAAATACATGATAAATAATTAAGCATGAATGGATATATTCAAGTATTAAAGGACACTGACCAATTTCCTTTCAAGCTTGCATCTTCAAGACTTTATCAGGAAATTTTAAATTGAAAATCTTAAATACTTGAAGGAAGGCCCATAGTAATTACCTTTTTGTAAAAAGACGTCAAGCTGATCAGCGCAAAAGGCTTTCAATTCTTTCTCAGGTTTGTCCTTCTTGACCAGTGCTACTACATAGTTGGCTAAGGCTGAAGGGTCAGCATCACATCTAGTTAAAGAGACAACACAAAATTTTAAACTTTTTCCATCCAAATGTAGTATCATTAATCAAATCACCTCTATTTTGGAAAGCTAATGGTGAAAATTTCATTTTAAAGTGACTGCAAACACAAGTGACTATTATAACAAACAGCATACACAGAGAATGAGTAAGATCTTCCTTTTCTGCTAATTTTCATAAAATAGTTTGTCTCCTCTTTTCAATATTCTAATTATACCCAGACTTTTGAACCAAATCTCAATGTCTCTGGAGCTATCTGTTTCATGTGACCAATGAGAAAGAAGGAGCAAAAGTGACAGGACAATTTCCCCCATTTCCTCTAACTCTAGGCACCAGCACCCAAAAATGGAGATCGACTACACTGTTCATCTACCTCGTGAGTATCTTAAGGACCTTTTTTAAAAAGTGAGAACACAAAAAGGGTGGTACCTTAATTATTACTGGCAAACACTTTAGTAGCTATAAGCAAGAGAGAAAAGATCTGGGAGTTAGAACAGAAAGGCTAAGAAAAGTGGTGGAAGGGCAGTAGAGATAACCTTGACCTGCTTCACATTTTTTGCCTAGTCAGTAGTAACCCAACTTTGAAAACCAAAATTTTCTCCTATGCCAGGGCAGCACATGATCCTCAAGTTGCCACCTCCAATGTGTCAGACTTAACATTATATCTACCTTACAACAAAGTTGAAGTTTTATGTTGCAAATATGTATTTTTTAATATTCTATTTCCCTCATGAATGTACATTTAAGTAACATCTTTTGTGGCTTCATAGGGTTGTTGTAAAGCTAAAATTTAAAAACTCAGGATGCTCAATATCATTAGCTATCAGAGAGATGCAAATTAAAACCACAATGAGATACCGCTTTACACCGGTCAGGATGGCTATCATAAACAAAGCAACAAACAACAAATGTGGGAGAGGTTGTGGGGATAAAGGGGTCCTTAGTTTACTGTTGGTGGGACTGCAGACTGGTACAACCATTATGGAAAACAGTATGGAATTTTCTCAGAAAAATAAAAATCGACCTGTCTTTTGACCCAACAATTCCAGTGCTAGGATTATATCCTAAGAATCCTAAAACATCAATATCAAAGAACCTATGCACCACAATGTTCATAGCAGTACAATTTACAATAGCCAAGAGTTGGAAGCAACCTAGGTGCCCATCAGTAAATGAATGGATCCAAAAATTGTGGTACATATACACAATGGAATTCTATGCAGCAGAGAGAAAGGAGCTACTACCCTTTGCAACAACATGGATGGAACTGGAAAGCATTATGCTGAGTGAAATAGGCCAGGGGTGGAAAGACAAATACCATATGATCTCACCTTTAACAGGAAGCTAAACAACAAAACAAACAAGCAAGCAGAAAGAAAAAAAACAAAGACACTGAAATAGAGAACAAGGGGACAGTGACCAGAGGGGAGAGGGAAGGGAAGTTAAGGGGAAAAAGGGGGAGGGATTTGGAGGAACAAATAGGAAGGACACAGGGACGAGAACTAAGGCGGGTGGAAATGGGAGGGAGGTGGAGAGCAAGGGGCAGGGGAGGCTGGGATGGGAGAAATAGACAAAAAAACTGTACTTGAAAAATAACTAAATAAAAGTTTGAAAAATAATAAAAATTTTAAAACCTCAGGATCAAGGTAATTAAAATTAATATGAAAGCAAAGAGATCATATCCCTGTCAAATACTATTCAAATCTAACGGATCTTGTTCTATAATCTTTGGGACTCCCCTATCAATCAGAAAGTTAGTTTCAATCACATTTCCAACAACTTTATGAGATTAGCAAACAACAACAAAAAAAGACTAAGCACCAGCACTTTTACTTTCTCCTTTTGGTCTCTTTTTAAAGTTCATAATTCAATAAAATAGAATTTTTTTCATCACCAATATTAAGGTTTTGTGGGAAAAGTTGGTTCTTAAAACACACATGCACATTCATGCACCAAATTCTCAAAGCAAATTTCAATGACTATCAATTTTATAAAACTCAGAGCAAATAAAAATAAATTATGGGCAAAGGTCAAAATGCACTAGGAGAGACTATGAGTCAAAGATGATGAGATACATATTAATAAACACATGCCATTTAAAAGAAAGTTAGCATTTTTCTCAAGTAAAATGTATAAATTACAGTTTGGATCATTTTGAACAAATTACCTTAGTAAATCCAATTGTTTAAATCTAAAATGGATATATAGCATTTCTACCTTCAAAAAAGTTATACATGCCATGTCCACCTTAGCTATCCCATTACTACCTCAAAATAGAAATACGTAGGTAGACTTAATTTCACTCCCAAGAACACACTGATCAGTATAATTCCGATCAACATTCAAATGGAGGGGGGAATCGCATATCTATCTTTACTTAGAAAGTTCAGATCCTGAATAAGAAAAATATTCTAAACAGGGGGAAAAAAGATTTTTAAAAGACTTTATTTATTTTTAGAGAGAGGGGAAGGTAGGGAGAACAAGCAGGAAAGAAGTATCGATGTGTGAGAGAAACACCAATTGGCTGCCTCACACATGCCCCCAACCAGAGGCCTGGCCAGCTACCCAGGCATGTTACCCTGACCAAACGGAACTGGCAACCCTGTGATCTGCAGGCTGGTACTCAATCCACTGAGCCACACCAGCAAGCGCAGATTTTTAAAAAGAAGTCAGAACACAGTAACTGGAGTGGCTCAGTGATTTGGACATCCTCCTGCAAACCAAAAGGTCCCTGGCTCGATTTCCAGTCAGGGTACATGCTTGGGTTGGGGGCCAGGTCCCTGGCTGCAGGGGGTGCAAGAGGCAACAGATCCTCTCGCGCATCGGTATTTCTCTACCTTTTCTTATCCTTCCCTTCCCCTCTCTTTCGAAATAAATAAATAAAATCTTTTTGAAAAAATAAGAATGGCATAAAGAGGCAATATTATTTTTTCTGGTGTTATGAGAACATTCAACAAGACAGTATAATGCTGGGTAGGGATATAAGGGTTCTAGTGAAAAACAGGCAAAACACTCAAGAGTACTGGATAAATGAGGTGGGTTAAACATAGCCAGATATCTTATTACTCATATGCTTAGTATTTAGACTCTGAAAAACAAATGTAGAGTTAGGCTGCTCCTGATGAAATATATATTTGATGTGATGGTGTTAAAACTCAAGACAAATAGTTATAGGAGGTATAAGAGTAGAAGAATACTAGACACAAGGAAAAGAAAGTGATCGCTGACTCTAAATACTTATTTAATGCGAGTGAACTAACTGTTAATAACTGACAGAATTCTGCACCAAATACAAAAGAATGTTTGTAGCCAAAGGAATGGGATCATTTAAATTAATGGCTCCTAATACGTACCCATAAAGTGCCTTATAGAGGTAAAATTGCCAGTCTGAAATAATAACTCGCACCAGGCCCTGACTAGTGTAGCCCAGCTGGTTGGGGATTGTCCTGCAAAGTGAGAGGCTACCGGTTTGATTCCCAGTCAGCATGGTCATGCCTGGATTGAAGGTTTGGTCCCCACTTGGGGAGAGTCAAGAGATCTTTGGTTTTCTCTCACATCCATGTTTCTCTCCCTCTTTCTCCCTCCCTTCCCCTCTCTCTAAAAATAAATAAAAGCTTAAAAAAATAACTGGCACCAACTGAATGGTAAAACTTAAAAAACAATGGGCAGTTTTGTTGTAATTTTCTGTACCTTTATGTTTATTCTTTTTTTTTTCACCACCCCTTACTACAAAATCTTGAAAAATAGGCAATTACAATACTGCAGCAGCTATGGTCGCATGCTAAAGAAGCACAATGAGACATTCAAAAGTGTGCCATAAAATTCTGCACATGACTGAGACCCTTGATAGAGAATAAGACAAATGCCGGACCACTTTTATTTCTTTCTTACTCAAGAAGTAATATCCAAGAGGAGTAACACCTTTCAGCTATTTATTTGTAACCAAAGTTTACGAAAATTCATTTTTGCTTATCTATATAGATCCAGCATACTTTGGAATAAAAAGATTTGAAAATTTTGGCTTCATTGCTATGTTATATACATTTCTAGACAAAAAGGGGCTTATAACAAAGAGATTTTCAAAGGTAATAATACTTATCTAAAATTACTCCCAGAGTCTTTAAAATGCCTTAACAGCATAATCAATGAATTATTATTCATTTTACAGGTAACTAAATCTGCATATATTAGACAAATTAAGTGATCCAATCAAAATCAGGCAAGATCGGGCAGACAGCATACCCATGAAACTAAAAGCAAGCTGCAATCCCACACAAGTAAACTTTATTTTACAGCACATACAGTTTTCTAATGTATATCTACATGTGAAATTAATTTGTCTCAACAGTTACCCTTCAGTTTAAAGAAAAAGTTCCTAAAGTTTAATGAAGTTACAAATGTAAAAACCTTAAAATTTACATCTTGCATAACAATGTTCTAAGAACATGTTTAAATTATCTCTCTCTTAAGTTATTTTAAAAATAAAAAAAGTAGCCCTGACCAGCATGGCTCAGTTGGTTGGGTGCTGTCCCTCAAAGGGAAAGGTCGCTAGTTCCCTGGGTTGTGGTTCTCTCCCAGGTCCAGATGAGTCACGGCATGTGCCGTGACACAAGTGATCAATGTTTCCCTCCCAATCTCCCTCCCTTCCCCTCTCTCTAAAAATAAATAAATAAAACATTTTAAAATGTTCACATTCTTTGACTTGTATAGTAGCTGTGCTTATGGGAAACTAAGCTCAGAATAAAGCCAAATACAGAAAACAATACTGGTTCCTAAGACACACTAAAAATATATGTTTATTGTATAAACACAGCATTATTTTTAAACAGAAAAGATAAAGTCAAAGTAATCATTCTGATTGTTGAATGTTTATGAAACACTGGGCACCCAAAGTGATGGTTACAGCCCTGACTAGTGTGACTCAGTTGGTGGGAGCATTGTCCAGAAGTTTGTGGGTTTGATCACATGTCGGGTATGTATGGGAGGCA